TTATTATATTGTAGCTTGTATGGTTAATATTAATGTAATTGTGAGCAAACTAGGGTTTAACAAAAGGTAATTCAGCCCACACAAGGGGACATTTTCTCCGATCCGGCCCCCAACCTTAAATGAGTTTGACACCCCTGCAGTAGATGATGTAAAGCTGACAGCGAGGAGAACCACTGCACTGGTAGAATGATTTATATGATTTGATATTAAAACATGTTTTTTGCAATCCATGTGCAAGGCCCCACCCCAAAAAATACATTTAAAAAAAATTATTTTGGGGGGTTACCTTAAGGTAATTGTGTTCAGAAGTCTTGGCATAGTAAAAAACAAAAAGCATTTTTCATACAAATCTTATGAATTAATTCTGAAATATATATTTTTTAAATCGATAAACAAACCATGAAATGTAAATATTTAAGTTAATATAAAAAATTTAAGTACATAAGTGGTGAAATACTGTAACTTAACAAAAATATTAACTTTTTTAATTTAACAGGATTTTTAAGTTCTCATGTAATTACATCATATTTAATACAGTATCATATTTGTAAGTTACAAGGAAATGTTGCCATTTAAGCGCATTTAGATTTGACAGTTCTATCAAATGAGTGAAAAAACATTGTACCTTTGCTATACCTTCCCAGTACCACTACATTCAGCAGAAAAGCGAAGAACAACCAAGAACTGAAGAGGAAGAGGAGTACTGCCAAGAGGAAGAGGAAGCTGAGGAGAATGAGCTTGAAGACTGAACAAAATAAATGAACAAATCCTCATTATCCACATTTGAGTTGTACAAAGTTGTTTTTTTGCATGTAGTAATAAAACAGCCGTGCAAATATTTGTACATACATCACATTCAATTCTAAAACACCAAACTTTTTCTTTTTTTTTTACTCAATCATGAGTTCGTGTTTTATTGTAATAAAGAATCCTGTAAACATCTCTTTGTTGGGAGTATGAAGCTCTGAAACAATAGATTGTATAAAATATTTTAAATCACTAATTTTAAAAACATGGACCTGGGGGGGGAAGAAAAAAATAAATAAAAGACTTTGCCTCCAGTCTTTGCCTGCATTTTAATACAGGGCGCTGCTTTCTCAAAACCAGATCAGGCCTAATACCATCTCAGCTCAGGAGGTTTTCAGCAGAAAATACAGATTGAGATGTATTAGGCTTAAACGGTTCTGAGAAAAGCGCTTATTCTGAAACATCAATCAAATTCTGCTGGAGTCTACCGTGTCCATTGCCGTTACCAGAGATGCAGAACCACAGCATCCTCCATCTTCCTCCATCCCCAAACGGACTTCCCGCCTGGGTTTCAGTTGCGGCCAGCCATATTCCAGGCCCCTAAATGTGTGAATTCAATTAGTTGTGTGTAGCTTGTATGGTTAATATTAATGTAATTGTGAGCAAACTAGGGTTTAACAAAAGGTAATTCAGCCCACACAAGGGGACATTTTCTCCGATCCGGCCCCCAACCTTAAATGAGTTTGACACCCCTGCAGTAGATGATGTAAAGCTGACAGCGAGGAGAACCACTGCACTGGTAGAATGATTTATATGATTTGATATTAAAACATGTTTTTTGCAATCCATGTGCAAGGCCCCACCCCAAAAAATACATTTAAAAAAAATTATTTTGGGGGGTTACCTTAAGGTAATTGTGTTCAGAAGTCTTGGCATAGTAAAAAACAAAAAGCATTTTTCATACAAATCTTATGAATTAATTCTGAAATATATATTTTTTAAATCGATAAACAAACCATGAAATGTAAATATTTAAGTTAATATAAAAAACTTAAGTACATAAGTGGTGAAATACTGTAACTTAACAAAAATATTAACTTTTTTAATTTAACAGGATTTTTAAGTTCTCATGTAATTACATCATATTTAATACAGTATCATATTTGTAAGTTACAAGGAAATGTTGCCATTTAAGCGCATTTAGATTTGACAGTTCTATCAAATGAGTGAAAAAACATTGTACCTTTGCTATACCTTCCCAGTACCACTACATTCAGCAGAAAAGCGAAGAACAACCAAGAACTGAAGAGGAAGAGGAATACTGCCAAGAGGAAGAGGAAGCTGAGGAGAATGAGCTTGAAGACTGAACAAAATAAATGAACAAATCCTCATTATCCACATTTGAGTTGTACAAAGTTGTTTTTTTGCATGTAGTAATAAAACAGCCGTGCAAATATTTGTACATACATCACATTCAATTCTAAAACACCAAACTTTTTCTTTTACTCAATCATGAGTTCGTGTTTTATTGTAATAAAGAATCCTGTAAACATCTCTTTGTTGGGAGTATGAAGCTCTGAAACAATAGATTGTATAAAATATTTTAAATCACTAATTTTAAAAACATGGACCTGGGGGGGGGAAGAAAAAAATAAATAAAAGACTTTGCCTCCAGTCTTTGCCTGCATTTTAATACAGTGCGCTGCTTTCTCAAAACCAGATCAGGCCTAATACCATCTCAGCTCAGGAGGTTTTCAGCAGAAAATACAGATTGGTGGATTAAAAAAAAGACACCCACCGTGTCATCGAGCCGTGCGAAGAGAGCATATAGACATGGTGAGGAAGGTGGCATAATGACCTCAGCCACACTGTGCTGCCATAGAGGGCGCTCTTCCCAGGCAAACCCCACAGATGTCAACTGCAGAAGAGATTTTGATGAAGGCTTGTTTTAAAGGGTTTGGACTGAAATAAAGCTGAACTGGACTGAAATAAAGCTGAACTTAAAATATGTTCAGGTTTCAACCAGATTCTTTCCAATGCAAGTTTGTTTTTTTGTCCTACATAATGATAAATGTACTTAAAATATGATGCAATTCTCATGCGTATTCAGATATCCACAAATTTTAACAACATGCATTATAAGAATCTAGTTGAAATGCTTCATTTGCATCGACCAAGACAATAAAACATGGGGGAAAAACATAACACTAAAGATGGTACATTTAAACGTAGCACCCTGGTTAACATCTTACTCCAAAACACTAACTCAAATCCCATTCAGTGTACAAAACGTTCTTCTTTTTCTTTTGTCCCCAGACTCCCTTTTCACCCATCCCCACTCCCAAAAACGTGACGAGATAAGTCTCTCAGAAAATACTTACCAAACACGCTAGAAATACTGACACTACAAACTCAAACCAGCTTACATACCCCACCCTGACGACTTGGAATCCATACTAGACCCAAAGCTGGAGTTAAACCCACTACCGCTAGAGTTAGTGCCGGAGCCCCAGCCGAGAGCGGCCGAGCTGCTGTAGTTGCTGTTGCCCGAGCTGTATGTTTGGGTCTGGTCCCGAGTGGAACTCGTGCCGCTTGTGCTCGTGCCAGATGATGCCGACTGACCCTGCTGTGCTAACATTCCCATCATACCCCAACTGTTCTGTAGAGCGGCCTGGGCGGCAGCCATCATAGCTGGATTGAGGTTGAAATTGCTGAAATTTCCCATGCTGCTGGAGCTACCCCCCATGCTGCTACGGTTGCCTCCGAAACCCTGACCTCCGAACCCGTTCCCAAAGCGCCCTGCCCGCTCCATCATCTGCCTAGTGTTGTTGTGTTTCGGCTCAGCATTGGAGATGTGCACGCTGACGCCCTTGATGATCAGATCTTCTCCGCAAAGGGAGGCGGCAACCTGGAGGGAAGATGGAAAATCTTAATTATGTATGCATGACCAGCTGATTTCTCCATCCAGAATAGAAAAGAACTGACAATTTGTCACATTTGCCTCATTTTTTTTCTCTATACCTTTAGGTTTATCACCTAAAAACAACAATAGCTTACCTGGTCATCTGCAAAGGTGACGAAAGCGAATGCTCTGAAGGGTTTAGGAATGAAAACATCTGTGACCTCCCCATACTGCATGAAGAACTGACGGAGCTCATCAGCGGTTATGTCCTCCGTGCAACGGCCCACAAACACTTTCCTGCTCCTCATTGGCTCATCTGGACCTTGCTGTTGAATTTTCAAAAAGATCATTCTGTTTAGCACCCCAAAAGTAAAAGCCTCAGACTAACATACATACTTCTTCATATACACTACTGTTCAAAAGTTTGGGGTCAGCAAGGTATTTTTTATTTTTTTTTAAGACAGGCTAAGTTCACATTGCGAGTCTTAGTGCTCAATTCTGATCTTTGCTCAGATCCGATTTTTTTGTATAGCTGTTCACATTGTTGTTTTAAATGTGGCCAATATCAGATTTCCAGTGTAAACAGATCATGGTTCTGAACTGACCCGCATGCTCAAAAGAACAATATGAAAAAAAAATAATAATAAATCGAATTTGGGCCACATTTGCCTGCAGTGTGAACGTAGCCTTTTACAAATTACAGCCCGTTACAAATGATTTCTAATTCAAATAAATGCTGTTCTTTTGAATGTCTAAGTATCGAACAATCCTGAAAAAAAAAAATGTCGTCAGCTTTGCCATCACAGGAATACAATACATTTTAAAATACATTAAAATGAAATTTTTTTACATTTGAATAACATTTCACAATATTATTGTTTTACTGTATTTTTATCAAATAAATGCATAAGAAACTTACTTCAAAAACATTAAAAATCGTACCAATCCCAAACATTTCAACTGTAGCATAAAAAAACTAATACACTAACCTTTGAGTTGGGTAGTTTGCAATCACACCACCTGCCATCAATCATGTGCCGCTGTGACATCACCTTACCCTGAGCCTCCCACTCTGCAAACCTCACGAACCCAAATCCTTTCGAATTTCCCGTCTTCACGTCCCGCTTGACCTAATGTAACAGAATCAAGTCAAGAGCTGCGTTCATACCAGATCTACTCTGACTTCATTACTGACAGCTGAGCCACATAAAAAGTTAGAAACATTAGACAAAGAGACAGAAATCATGGATTGCTTTCACCAAAATATGGCAGTACAAAGACAAGCACAGCTGGAGAATTATATTTGTATCAGTATGTCTTACCTGCACCATGATGACTTCCCCAAACGTATTGAAGTAGTCTTTTAAGTCTTGTTCTGTAGTCTTCCATGGCAGACCCAGCACAATCAGATCTGAAGTCTTCTGATCTCCTCTCTTGATCTTCGTTGCAGATGAAGCATCGATCTCATCCATCTTCCTCTTATTATCCGGCAGAACCGTTTCTAGTATAGAAAGTTCACTTGTTCACACATCCACAGAATGTCAATCACCCTTCATGCAACAAAAACAACCCCATTAAATCAAGATGAACTGGATTTTTACAGCTAAAGATGTAAATCTGAAGTTTCCATCACCCCACTGTGCTCAACTTGGGTTATGACATATAACCTCAATGTTCAAGTATAAATTAACCCTAAAATGCACACAAAAAAGACCCTATTCTTGACCCATGTTTCTAGGGGGAGAAGTTAGGGTTAATAATGTCATTTGATATTATAAAATGTGCTAATTATTTGGAATATTTTTCATATTTACATTCTAAATTGAATCAGAGGCTTATTCGTATTGATCATATGACCTACCTTTAGGGTAATTGACCACATAGACCAGGTTTCCCCAGCCGTTCTCGGGGGCGTGCAGGACTCCCTCCACCAGGCGAACTCCTCTCATGCACTGAGACACCGGGCTCCGGTAACGCAGGCCACAAGCCCCTGGAAACTGAGCGGCCACCGTGGAGAGCAGCACGGTGCCGTCGTCCTCTGACGGGATCTCCATCGGCTCCTCGTTCTCCTCCTCCGCGACGCGAATGTACATCTCGGCCATCTCTCCTAAATCGAGCTGTTGGTGAGTAAATGGTATAATTAGTGGCGATTCCTTCGTGAAACAATCAATGTTTTTGAACGAATCTTCCTCGGTCACTTTGATTCATAAACCTGTGACCAAAGACTCGCTATAGCGAACCAATAGCAATTGCGTGCAGGCTGTGAAGGAGCTGTATCATTGGTTGGACATGCCGAGCGACCACGCCCCCTTTACTAAACGAGTCTGTTTACGAATAGGAGTCAAAATAGCATTGAACGAGACATCTCGTTCGTGAACGAAATGCATTATTGAAATTCACGATTCAGGCTATTATTGTTAAAATAACAGGTGTGCGTTGTTGTCATTTGTTTGGAAATTTGTTTATGATGCTTATATACTCGGTAAATGTAAATATGTAGAAACGCATTTAATACATACTAATAATAATAATAATGTATTTCAGTTTCGTTGAACGAATAATTCAATGACTTATCACGATTAAAAATATCAAAATGTGTCCCTGAACGAATCTTTTCAGTGAACCGATTCAAAAGAATCGAGTCGCTGAGATGAAACAAAAAAACCCTTCCACTTGTAATGCGAGCTGGGCCTTGCGCGCGACTTCAGTACTTAGCGCGTGCGAACAACTCGCGAATCCTTATTGCTTAGCAACAGTAAAATACGGCCTCGATAGACCACGAATAGTTCGATATACTGTGTAGATACATATTAATGTATGTGTTATAATCAAACAAAATTAAAATAACATTACCAATGAACAACTGCTCGGATCCAGATTTTCCTTTGTTAGCGCCACAAGCAGCAGCGCTCCTCGCTCAGAAAATGTGACTGCCGGGAATGAATGAGCCAGTGAACACGGAAAACAGTGTCAGTTTTCTGCTCTTATCTGAATAAAACTAAAAAATGCTATCTCTGTATACAATATCAAGACAATAATTTTCCGCTTCACACTACTCATGCGACACTATTTTCGTATCAAGATGGCATTACCTAAGTCATGAAGGAAATACGTCACACTTGGGCGAGCTCACTTTTACATGTGCGCGGGTGGAGACAAAGAAAACAAACATTGTTGTGTGCAGTGATGTTTGCTTAGCTGGTGATGTATAAAATGTAATTAAACAAAGTGATGTTTATGAACAATTTAAATGCAACAAAGATGTCAGTGTCATCTGTGTAACAGAACACTTAACTGATGAAAACAGAAGAAGCACCGTTCCCTACGTACTAGTGGACTGCTCTCAGAGTCCTAGTGGCAGATATGAGTATAACACCCATGTTATTAGCTCGAGATGTTCAGTGATGGGGAAAGCAAAGTAAAAGTACAGAAAATGACTTTGGTAGAAGTTAAAGAATATAGCCTACTTGAGTAAAAGTTTTAAAGGATGTGATTTTTATTGTACTTAAGTATGAAAAGTGTTTTTTTATTATTAAACTTAAGTACTGAAAGTAAAAAAACAAGTAAATGCAAAATAGAAAAGGAGCAAATATTATAATTGGGTTCGGACCCATTCGATTTTAGTCAACTAAATCTACTGTACTCTACGAAAATAGTGTCTACTGTAGATTTAGTCGACTAAAATCTTATGGCATTTAGTCGACTAAAACTAAAACAATTCAGATGACTAAAATGGCATCCAAGACTATAGACTAAATCAAAATTTGCTGTCAAGGTTAACACTGCCTTGGACCTCATTCTTGAAACACAAAATGAACAATGAATGTCATATACTATAGTAGTACTATATACATACTGTATATACTTTGTGTGTGTATATGCGTGTTTTAATACTAAAACTAAAATATGGTCACCCTAATCTGTATCAGGTGAACATCATCAGTTTCATTGACTAGATTTAAGAGGTTGTTTTAACTTTTCAAGTAGTTTTCAGTGAAGTACTTTTACTTCAGTATATGAATTCTCAGTATGTCCAAATATGTTATGCAATGATTTAGAACAGTCACCATTCCAAGAAAAAGTCAACTTTTCAAGAAAATGCCTGTTATAAAAATGTATTGAAAGTGGCCATTGAAAAACATAACTGAAATAAAGAAAACGAGAATTGTTTTTGATCAATATCTTTATATATTACAAAACAATAGAAATGCTACTGATAACAATATATGTTCACAGTTGCTGTTATGATACCACACTGAAATAATGTATATAAGTTAGACATAAACTGACATATCTTAATAAATAAAAAAAGAACATATTAATCTAACAAGTCACAATGCTTGACGGTTAAAAGTCGCATCATGTTGAGCATTAAGTTGGAGTTTTCTGTGTACAGGTTTCATGGCTATGAGGCTGATGTGTGAGTTAATGTGCTGTCGCTGATCACCCTCACATGTCTGTAGACTTTATCGGCAACAATAAAGTGATACTCAGAAACGTTTTCAACACAATTATGAATAATCAGCTAAGCATCAAGTAGTAACACTGACAGTGTAGTGCAAAGTAGACAGTGTGTGTGTGTGTGTGTGTGTGTGTGTCTGTGTATGTTTTGGAGAGCAGGTTGTGGCGCTCAGCAGGATAACAAAAAGCAGCAAAAATAAATATCAAAAGAATTTATTTTTTATCAGCATATAAAAGCACTTTTTTGTTGTTGTTGTTTTTTTCTTTTTTATTTCACCAAGAGTCTGGGAAAAAAGGCCTCATGGAAAGTTCAAGGAACCACTTTGTTCCATCTCATTTTCCCGAAAACTTCACACCAAGGACTCCATGCTCTCAGCCTGGTTGGATTCATCTGTTACCACTATCCCAGCAATTTTGTCCATGTAGTTGAAGCCAAGTCTGAAGTCTTTACTGCTGACAAGGCTGAGCATAGCCTTGTAAAGGTTGTGATAGTGCTCCTAAAAGAGGTAGAGAGAAACAACAAAAAAAGAAAGGAAATAAACGCAATGAAGGAAAATAATTTTTTTTAACCGTTTTGGAACTCCAATTGGACTGCATCAAACTTCTACACAAAACCCCAATGACCTCTCTAAATCGAATTCATCATCAAGCAGACTTTTATTATGAGGAACTTACAATTTCAGTGAAGACGCCAGGCCTCATGAGGTTAATCATTTTGGCCACTTGATAGACATCCACAGCACTCTCGTTCTCCAGTTGTTGGGAAAGTGTGGTCAGAGCACAGAACATCCCGGCAGAGATGGCGCCAAACCTGAAACACACAATCCATGAGTCTCTCTCTCCCTTTGGTCACGTACACTACTACTCATGGTTTATGCACTCACTCATCATGCACGATGGTGGGACCATCCCTTGCCATAGCCTCTTCTTTGATGATGTTGATGAGCTCAAATGTGCTGCTGATGGATGCATCAGGATCTGGCCAGTTTGGACATTGAAAATGTCGGACTTCTAGCACATAGTCATCCTGCAGAGCAAAGATAAACAGTTATGCAACTCAGCAAGTGCAGATAAATGGGAAGTAAAATGGGTTGGCACAAATTTAGAACATGAGATCAAGTACCTACCCACCCATCCATCCATCTCTTTAATCTAGCCTGTGCCAACAGTTGTACACGGAAGCAGCTCCGGGAGGATGATGTAAGATGTCGGCGTTGCGCATGCGCCGGTGAGTCTCGTGAAAACCAACATTTGTTTACAGGAGCAAATGAAGCAAAGTTTCCTTACTTTAGCAAAGCAAAACCAGTCTCCCCTTGGCTTATATCGAAATCCTCCAACATTCTTCTATACAAATCCTCGTTTTGTACTTCTAAATAGTGACCGTTGTTTTGTTTTGATCTCTCCCCTGCGCTTCCGCGTTCGTCACTTCTGAGCGGTGCATGCGCAACGCCGACGTCCTACGTTATCCGCCCGGAGCTGCTTCCGTTTACAACAGTGAGCGCAAGCTAGATTAAATTGATTATTACGTTTTAAATATGGTTATTTTTCTTACAAAAACGCATCAATTCGCTACAGGAGGCCTTTGTTCACCCCCTGGAGCTGTGTGAGACACTTTTTCTTGTGGATGGATGCGCTTTATTTCACTTCTTTTGGACTGATGCACTGCAACACCCGCTGACTGCCATTAAACAGCTTGGAAGATCAAAGTCAATTTTTCATATAACTCCGACTAGATTCGTCTGAAAGAAGAAAGTCATATAGACCTAGGATGCCTTGAGGGTGAGTAATTCATGGGCTAATTTTAATTTTTGGGTGAACTAAACCTTTAAAGTATGGATAGGTGATTTCGGGGGAGGCTTAGCAACAGCAAGATAGTTTGAAAGCATAAGATTCCACCCTCCCTGCAAAACACTCTCCAAAGCCACGCCTCCTTCAAAACACATGAATGCGTATAGGCAGATCAGAGGCTAACCAGCGACACGATGAGAGATGGCATTGGTGAAGGGTTGAATGCAACACCATCAGATTACCTCATGTCTCATTCACCGGTGAGAAAATATTACAGTACAGAGCGCATAATATTACAATAATAACGCCTTCCATTCTGGCTCGGGCTGCAACAGCGTAATGGAATGCACTGATGACCTATCATGTCTGCGTGAACATGGTGTGAAGAGGTATGCAAATACACATGTTGACAGGAAGGTAAGACAGCCTATCGTAGCACTCGGGCCGGGGGATATGATTGGATGAACATTTTATGGTCCTGCCCCTTCCACAGACCATATAAATTCATATAAATACATTTAGACCACTTAACTTCGGGATGTAAAGAGGCTTTAAACCACCTACCCTGCCTTTAAGAGTAATGTTTGTGTTGTGACTGAGGTACCTGTGTGGCTTCTAGGATGAAGTCGTGGATGATGAGTTGCTCCTCATTAGATAAGCAGAGTCTGTCAGTATTAATGAGGGTGACAGTGAAAGCTACGCAGTTCATGGGCTCCTCTCTGCTGGGCCAGTACACAAATTCATCCTCAGTCTATAAAAAGAAGAGCAGGGCATAGCACATATCATATATCATATCTTATATCATATCATATATCATCCACTTATATATAACGTTAACAGATTCAACTAATTAATAAATGTTGAGCATGTTTCCACATTTAATATTTATACATTTACAAGCAAATACAAATGATTTTATAATAAATGTTAAACAAATTAAGTAATATATTGTAAACCAGAAATGACCTATTTACATATAATATGTCTTGAATAAAGGGTGCTCTTTAGATATTTAAAAAAAAGTTAACTCAGTATTATATAACGTAATAATTCAATTGAACTCTAAAGATAAGTGCCATGATAACCTGCTGGTATGAAACGTTTGAGAGTGCATTAACACAACTTGCTGAATATGTATAAAAAGAACATAAGTTATATGAGGCAGCATGAAAAACTCATGTTCATAAGTAGCTCTTCAACGCTGTACTCACAAGGCCGAGGTTGTCTGGCAACATCACAATAACTTGAGCATTATGATCCCAGATCATCCTCCAGAAGTCTGTGGTTGTGTGGGGCAGAGGATGCTGGGTAATGATGAACTCGTTGCTCCTGTAATAGCCCTGTGAGTGGATAAACATTGATTTCATTCTAAAAGAAAATCACAGCTTGTGTTGAGACAAGCAGATAAGGAGCTGTTTAAGTTACACAAATAATTCATGTTTCATGCATTATTAAATGTGATCCAAAACAATGTATAATGTTCTGTGTGCTGTACCATAATGTAGGCGGCATTGATGTAGTCGGTTCCTTTTACTCCTGGGAGGGGAGCTAGTGCCACCCGAGCCCGTTCCACTGAGGGGCAAAGCATCAATGATAAACAACTCACTATAACCGTCACAGCAAACCAAACCTTGTACTGTATCATTCATTGAGTCAGTGTTTAAAAATGCTATCGTTTACCATTCTTCATCACCTTATGTTTTTTAAAACTAATCTTCCAGAAGAAGGCAATTATACACTCAGCAATTAAAAAATGGCCAACTCCCTTGGATATTTCTGTTCTTTTTCCCATGGAAATAATTTGGTAACAATGGTTATTAGGATTTGCAGTGTTGTTATTGCTAACAAAATTCAAAACTCAAAATTAAAATGAAAAAGAAAACTACATTAAAATAGTTGGTAATTAAAAAAAAAAAAAAATTCTACTAAATTCAACTAACTGAATTAAATAAGTTAAGTACTAAAACCTTAAATTAAAAATGAAATAAAATAAACAAAAGCTAAATGGAAATATAAAAAAAACCATAAAATCATTCAAATTTAAACTAAAATTAAAATGAAGTCTGAAAATATAAAAATTATGGTTAATTCAAAATATTAATAAATACTATAACAGTAAATACGTAATACAAAAATATCCAAAGTTATATACGTTTTCTATATATTCATATATATATATATATATATATACACACACATACATAGGAATATAAATATATCATATGAAAAGTAGATCTAGAAATCAGTACAGTGCAGTAAATATACTGTAAAGAACACACACAAGTAGATATAGAAAAAAAACTAAGATGTAAACTGTTTTTATATTATTAAAAAACATTTTTTTTGCATTTTAACTATTATTTATTGTAAAAAAAAAAGGTGCTACCACACTGTGCTACACTGTATACTAAGTATACAACAAAATCCATGTTGGCAACGAAGCTGGAGTGTTGATTTTGATATATGGGTTTAGAAGGTTTAGCGACTCACTTGGCAAGACCGACGAGGTGCGGTTCTTCTCTTTGTTGCAGTCTTTCTGGGCACTGAAACACTCAGTGAGGTGAGAATTGCATTGCGTCAACAACTGGAGGAACAATTACAAGAGCGTCCACAAGGAGGAGCAAGTTAGTTGTCTAACTGAGAAAATGAACATCTCAATACAATTGCATAAAGCCACAACACAGTCATCAAGTCCAGACCTTAAATTGTTTGTCCATGCGTGTTTGTCCTGTGGGGCTCGAGGTGAGAATGCTGTTGACATAACTATGGAGTTGCCAGACAGGCACCTCGGTGTCTTTGCCAAGCACAGCTTCCATTAATGCATCATGGATAAAGATAAACTGCTCCTGTAGGTCACACATACACAGCATGTGGCATTAGGCATGTGATATCTCAACATTATATTTGCAAATGACAAAATATGGTTAAGTTCAGAATAGCTTACTGCAATTCTACTCATACAATTTTTTCCAGTATGCAGTATGTAGAGTGCAAACAGTATGTAAATGTCCTATATGCTTATTATACCCAAATGACCTTCTACATTTGCCAAAATCCGCAGAATACAATCAAAAAACACTGCATACTGTTTCCCACAATGCAGTGCACTTGAATTGACCTTAACATTTGACTGGATTGCCAAAAGTAAATACACAAAATGCTAAATAACTATTAACTGGACGCTATATATGCAACAGTGTTATTTTAATATTATTAGAATGATTAATACAATTAATAAATTAGAATTAAATTCTGAATGATTAGTATTATTACTTATTTTTAGTATTATAGTTTTTAATATTTTAAATGAGCTTTTATTTTTATATTATCAGCGTTCATCTTTTTTTGATATCACTAGACGTAATTTAATTTTATTTCAGTTATGTTTTTTTTTCTTTTTTTCAGTTTTTAATTTGTGTTTCAACTTCAATCACCCAAGGCAACATTTCTAGTTTCCATTTCATTTGTTTTTCATCTAATATTTATATTTAATTTCAGCATTATTTCAATTAAAATCATTTATTTTGATTAGTTTTAGTTTAACAAAAATAACCCTTATATGCAACACGCAAAATAATGAGGTCATGTGACAAAATGTAGTGCACTACATTTGGAATTGTTTTTAATTGCATGCTACATAGTTCCACATACAAATTTAACAAATAGTATGTAGTATGTAGTAAGCAGTACAGTCAAACAGGTAATAACCTCAGTCTGGACCAAGTAGTTGCGCTGAGCTCGGATGTGCTTGAGGTATCCTAGGACGTTGACAGTGCCGTTGTCCTTTATCTGCTGCAGCATGCTGTCTATGACTATGTATGTGCCTGTTCTGCCAACTCCAGCACTGTGGGACACAGAGAAAGAGATGGTTTGATAAAAACAACATCTCATTTTGCTACAAAGCAGAGTCTAACACTTCCAACCATCCGGCTAAAAATTATGTAAGGATGAGAAGCCTTGCACAGTTGGAAAGCACAGCACGTTTCACACACTAGTGGGTGGAGTTTAGTTCCATAGCAGACAGTACCTGCAGTGAACTAGAACAGGGCCTGTGCCTGGCGTACGGGCTGCTGAAGATCGAGAGATGAATTTGAGGACTGGTAGTGTATACTCGGGTACGCCCATGTCTGGCCACTGTGTGTAATGGTACTGGACAACCAGCCGTTCGTTATGCCTTCCCTTCTGACCCTGGGAGAGTCAAGCCAAAGGTCAAATTGCAGCATCTACAACTTCAATGCTCTGTAAACACTGTTACAAATGCTCAAACGCACCTTTTTCAGTTTGGTGTTGCGCATGATGAAATGGCGGAGTGTGTAGTAAGCATAAACTTTAGTGCTCTTCAGAGTCACCATTATGTTCCCATAAACCTCGCTGTTCTCTGATGGCCAATACTGATCGCATTTTCTCTGTAAAAACAACAAAAGCATCTTCTGTTTTGCTTTTTAAAACATCAACATCTACATTAACAGGATAGTTCAACCAAATATGAAAATATACTCACCGTCAGGGCATCCCAAGATGTAGATGCATTCGTTTCTCCATCAGAACAAATTTGGAGAAATTTAGCATTACATAATTTGCTCACCAGTGGAACCTCTGCAGTGAATGGGTGCCGTCAGGAGTTCAAACAGTTGATGAAAACATCACAATAATCCACATGACTCCAGTCCATCAGTTAACATACTGTGAAATGTAAAACTGATCGTTTGCAAGAAACAAATGCATCATTAAGACGTTTTAACTTTAAACTGTCGCTTCTGGCTATAATCCATAATAGCACTTCCTCCAGTGAAAAAGTAAATCCCCTGTTGTGCACTCGCATCAAAATCCACCAACATAATCGTTTAGTACTGTTTATGGACTGTTTTCACTTTTAAACAATGCTTAATCTGTGCGTATTTCTCTACTGATTCAAACGATCGTTCACTAGTGAAAGCATTATGCATAGATGACTCTTATTTTAGCGGAAGGTAAAGGTTTGAAGTTAAAAACATCTTAATGATGGATTCTTACAAACAACTTTTCACAAGATGTTAACTGATGGACTAGAGCCTATGGATTACTTGTGGATTATTATGATGGTTTTATCAGCTGTTTGGACTCTCATTCTGACGGCACCCATTCACTGTAGAGGATCCATTGGTGAGCAAATGATGTAATGCTAAATTTCTTAAACTCATCTACATCTTGGATGGCCTGAGGGTGAGTAAATTTTCAGCTATTTTGATTTTTCAAATTCCTTGAAATTCTCTGCCGTAACTCTCAAATAGTTTTTATGCTAATGCATATTAAATAAACTTTGTGGAAGCATGGTCTGTTTTAAAAAATGAAACGGTTATTCATCACTTACCCTGCCTTTCTCCACCAAGTTGGTGATCATGACAATCACAGTGGTGTTCTGTTCCCAAATCATTCTCCAAAAGTCCTCAAATGTGGACTTCAGAGGGCCCTGAGCTGCTATATAAGCCCTGGGTCTTTTATAACCCTGAGAGGGAGAATATTTAATTATAAAACAAACATTAAAGCAACAAGCACGCACTTAGTAATAAAATACCTACGTCTACATAGTTGGCATTGATGTAATCACTGTGCTTGGAGTCTTTCCCAGACAGTTGCTGCAACTTCACTCTGCTGTGGTCATCTGGGAATTAAAAAGCAATAAATGATGTATCATTCGAATCAGAATTTGAGATATTAAATGGATGTTAATATCTTTTATCTTCATCTTGCATGCACACTGCTAGCACTTCATCACAGATGAATTCACAGTATGATTAAGAAGGTAAATGTTCATGTTTGCCACATAATAATAACTCACAGGCAACAATGTTGATGTATCTGTTTTTGTGCTTGTTGTCTGGTTGGTTTGAACGTTCTGCTGTAATCTTCATTTCAGATGTGCAGTGTTGAACCTCCTGCAGGGAAGGTGTGATTTCAAATTATTACTTGCAGTTATTATAATTCACAGACTACACTATGTCCAAAATCTTTTCTTTTCTTTAAACAGATGAATACTTAGATTAATCTGAATGCAGTCCTGTTAAACTGGTTTGTTGAAATTTTGTTGACCATATTATTGGTAAATTATTTAAGACTCTTTTACAAAATAATTAGTTAACTATTGTAGTAATTAGCCACACTTTGATTAGAATTTACATAAACTGCCCCATTTGTCCAAATCATTTAATTATTGTCACATCAATGCAATTTTAAATACATTTTATACACAAGCATAATAATTAGCTCCCCAGTGAGCCATAATGAAGCAGATATTAATCTGTCGTGCAGATTTCGTCTTTCTATATCTGTAAAACAAAGCACCTCTGTAACGAATTGATACCTCCTGCATCTCAGATACTGGTAACTGTAAAAGTTTTTAAGTAAATCTTCTTTAAGAGATGCAGGTCTTGCTTTTGGATGTGTCCATATTGGATTCTGATCTTGTAAATGTTTGCTGTGGGCATGAAGCAGACTCAAGCTTCCCTGCATTCCTGCATAGATTCCTCCAGCGAGAGGAGTGATTTTAATGAGGCGCTCCTCTTTAATTAGTCCTTTTGCCATAGCCATCTGTGCCTCTGCGCTACTGGGAGCACCGGTACACGTACAGAGCACATACACACACATTCTCACACGCTCCAACTACAAAGACCATACTCACATCGAACTCCTGAGAAAAGCCATGTTGGTTGTTGGAGTACACTATGTCCAAAATCTTTTCTTTTTTTTAAACAGATGAATACTTAGATTAATCTGAATGCAGTCCTGTTAAACTGGTTTGTTGAAATTTTGTTGACCATATTATTGGTAAATTATTTAAGACTCTTTTACAAAATAATTAGTTAACTATTCCAGTAATTAGCCACACTTTGATTAGAATTTACATAAACTGCCCCATTTGTCCAAATCATTTAATTATTGTCACATCAATGCAATTTTAAATACATTTTATACACAAGCATAATAATTAGCTCCCCAGTGAGCCATAATGAAGCAGATATTAATCTGTCGTGCACATTTCGTCTTTCTATATCTGTAAAACAAAGCACCTCTGTAACGAATTGATACCTCCTGCATCTCAGATACTGGTAATTGTAAAAGTTTTTAAGTAAATCTGCTTTGAGATGCAGGTCTTGCTTTTGGATGTGTCCATATTGGATTCTGATCTTGTAAATGTTTGCTGTGGGCATGAAGCAGACTCAAGCTTCCCTGCATTCCTGCATAGATTCCTCCAGCGAGAGGAGTGATTTTAATGAGGCGCTCCTCTTTAATTAGTCCTTTTGCCATAGCCATCTGTGCCTCTGCGCTACTGGGAGCACCGGTACACGTACAGAGCACATACACACACATTCTCACACGCTCCAACTACAAAGACCATACTCACATCGAACTCCTGAGAAAAGCCATGTTGGTTGTTGGAGTACTGCTCCATGATGTGTTTGATGAACTGCCTGACTGAAACAGCCTCCAGGTCATCTGAAACACAAACCATACATACAGCACACTACAACTGACTATTTAAAGCCAGACATTTTGATATAAATTGATGATAAATGCATTAAAAACACCCAGAATATTATTATTATTATTTCCACATATTTAGGGACATGGGTTTATAATTAAAAATTTATAAACTTAGTATTAAAATATAATATTAAAATAAAAATAATTATTTTTAGAAATAGGGCTTTATATAATAAAAAAATATAGTAATAAATTATAATATCACAGTGCCCTCCACTAATATTTGCAGCATTGGTAAATATGAGCAAAGGTGGCTGTAAAAATAAATCTGCATAGTTTATCTTTTTGATCTTTCATTAAAAAAATTCACAAAATTCTAAACTATCATTGAAGTAAAACAATTGAAATTGGGGGAAACTCACATTATGAAATAATTGTTTTTCTCCAATGCATGTTGGCCACAATTATTGGCACCCTTAGAAATTCTTACGAGTAAAATATCTGCAATATTTTTTTTTTTAGCACAACAGGGTTACTAAGGAGCATGAAATTGTCCAGCCATGACTTCCTGTTCCACAGGATAATAAATATGATATATAATTACCTTAATCATCCATCACAAGGAGTAGAACCAAAGAAGAACAAGAACAAGAGATTGTTGAGCTTCACAAAATAGAAATTGGCTGTAAGAAAATAGCTAAAGCATTGAAAATCCCCATTTCCACCATCAGGGCAATAATTAAGAAGGTCCAATCAACTAAAGATGCTACAAATCTGCCTGGAAGAGGACATGTCTATATCGTCCTAATGCAAGGTGAGGAGGAGAGTTTGAGTGGCCAAAGACTCTCCAAGGATCACAGCTGGACAATTGCAGAGACTAGTTGAGTCTTGAGGTCAGAAAGTCTAAAAAATGTATATATCAAACAGCCCCTACATCATCACATGTTGTTCGGGAGGGTTTCAAGAAAAATCATCCTCGCTCATCCAAAAACAAAATCCAGCATATTCAGTTGCCATAAACGACTGGAACTTCAAATGGGACTGGCTTCTATAGTCAGACGAAGCTATAAAAATAAATAAAAAGAGCCATCTTGTTCAGATACATGGCATCATGGATTTATCAAATACCAGCAGATAAAAAATCTAAACCTGACTGCCTCTGTTAGAAATCTAACAGTGTAAGAAGGAATGGTCTCTGATCTCTTCTCCAAACTCATCAGGCATTATAGGACAAAACTCAGAGCTGTTATCTTGAGAAAAGGACGTTGCAATAACTGGGTGCCAACGTGAACTAGAGAAAAAAAAATGTTTATTTCATAATGAGATTTTTTCCCCACTTTCCATTATTTCACTTCAATGATAGGTTAGAATTTTGTGAATTTTTTGAAAGAAAGATCAAAAGAATAAACAATGCAGATTTATTTTCACAGCCACCTTTGCTCATATTTCCCAAGGGTGCCTATATTAGTGGAGGGCACTGTAAATATATTGTTAATAATGTTTTTCTCTTATTTAGGGATAGATGTCTAAAATTTTAAAATATAAACAGTATTAAATTATAAAATAAAATAAAAATATTATATATCTTTCTCATATTTGGGGACAGGGATTAATAGTTAAACATATAAACTTAGTATTACATTATAATGTTAAATTAAATTATTCCCCAATACAAATACATTATTATATTAGGTAATTATTTTGAATAATGCATACTATGCTGTTCAATATTTTTGTGAAAACCATGATTCATGATATTCCCAGATATTATTTGATTTAATAGGATTCCCAGATATTTTGACAAACAGAAAAATCAATAGAACAGCATTTACCTATAACAATGTAGATCAATTTCATGCACCTTTGTTGAATAAAAGTATTAATTTACCTTAAAAAAACCCCCAAACTTGTATATTTTCATTAAATAGACCAAAATATACATTTACAGAATATTTAATAGTATACCAAATCATCAGATTAATGCAATTAGCATACATTTTTAGTGACTGCATATGATAATGTATGCAGGGTTTTTTCCATTAATTATTCCAACTATTCATTAATTCAAGACTTTTTAAATTGAATGAATATTTGTCATTTCAAAATATCCACTTTCACTTTTAAGGAACAAACCCTTGTGGAGAATAAAAGCTTAAAAAAAAAAAACTTCCTTGTTCCAAATGACAAAAGACTTTGAACCAAAATCCATCCGCCCTACTTTTGTGGCCTGACTTCTTGAGTGATGATATTTGGTCACATCTGTGTCATAGAATGCTCATCAGTGATCTATCAAAGAAAGGGACTGGACTGATGGTCTATTGTCACGTAGAATGGCCTTATAAAGGTATGGTTCATTACAGCCTTGGGCAGCAAACAGCTGGGACCATATTTAAAAAAGACCAGAATCCCCTGGAGCACTTAATTCAAGACTTTTTAAATTGAATGAATATTTGTCATTTCAAAATATCCACTTTCACTTTTAAGGAACAAACCCTTGTGGAGAATAAAAGCTTAAAAAAAAAAAAACTTCCTTGTTCCAAATGACAAAAGACTTTGAACCAAAATCCATCCGCCCTACTTTTGTGGCCTGACTTCTTGAGTGATGATATTTGGTCACATCTGTGTCATAGAATGCTCATCAGTGATCTATCAAAGAAAGGGACTGGACTGATGGTCTATTGTCACGTAGAATGGCCTTATAAAGGTATGGTTCATTACAGCCTTGGGCAGCAAACAGCTGGGACCATATTTAAAAAAGACCAGAATCCCCTGGAGCATTTACTGCTTTGCCATTGTGAAGGATGATCAAACACACATCAATCCATCCCCCACTCTGTATTCAGTGTCTATGCAATTAACAGAAAAGATTATGTCTTATTAAATCACTGAGACATGCACAGACATACGACTTCTTCAATTTAACAGGGCTTGTTGATGACTTCTCTATTACAGCAGAGACATTAAACTATCACCTCAAACGGAGTTCTCATAAACATTAATGGCTAGTTTTACTTCTTTTGGCTTACAGTTATATAGACCTGTCCGTCAAGAGCTGCACTGCGTCATATGAGGAGACAGAAGGAGAGGAAAGAAACTGAGAGAGAGAGGGCAAGAGAGAAAAGAGTGGCAATACTGACAGCAGTTCATGCAATTTTAGAAAATCATGCACTACCCCAAAGTGAGCAATCAGACTTTCCATTCGCCCGCTGACAAACAGTACCATACAGAACAAAAAATATGCATTCACTCAACAACCGAGAAAACCGCAAGATAGGAATGCTTATCATTAAAAGCCCAGCCAAAATGAAAATTCTGTCGCTATTTACACATCCTCATGCAGTTCAAAATCAATATGACTTTAATTTTGCAATGAAATACAAAAGAGATATTCTTCCCCCCACAAACCAATCATCTGAGCTTGAAAGTCCTTATCCACAAGAGCATTGTGAACATTGAGCAAAGCACCATGGAAAAAATGTACTCTGTATTAAAGTTTGGGGTCTGTAATTTTTTGAATGTTTTTGAAAGAAGTCTCTTATGCTTACCAAGGCTGTACTATAAGAAATATTGTGAAATGTTCTTACAAAAATGATTATACTTTAAATGTAATTTATTTCTGTGATGTTTCAGCAGTCATTACTCCAGTCTTAAGTGCCACATGACCCCTAATGCTGATTTGGTGATCAAGAAACAGTTGTGCCTTTTCATATTTTTGTTGAAAGCATGATCCTTTTTTTCTTTAGGATTATTTGATGAATAGAAAAAAACAGCATTTATATGAAATTCAAAATACTAAATTAATATTTTGTAACATTATAAATTCTTTACTGTCACTTTTGTTCAATTGAATGTGTCCTTGCAAAATAAAATTATTTCTAACAAGAATAATATGAATCTTACTAATCCCAAACTTTTGAACGGTAGTAAGGGTTTGGGTTTTAATATAATTTCATCCATTATTTTTTACTATATTCATGTATAAACAACATTCATTCATTCTGCTGTAATGCTTTCTTATATCTTATTGATCCATTTCAGATTCAAAATAGCCATGTCAAAACCTATTGAGCTGCTTTGCTCTCTAAATAGACAGCTGCCTCCCATTGTAGGATTACCTTTGCTGATAAAATCACAACTAAAGAACTCCTATGAAATTACATAAAATAAAAGCTCTTGCAGCACATTGTATTCTCATTTATGTTTGTTTAGCGACTCACCCGCTGTAGACAGGATGGGGAAACTGTCATTGTGGATCACTCTGGGGGAGTTCCTGTCTTCAATATACAAATGTGCAGTCTGGAAGAATCTCCTAAGAACAGAAACGGTCCCCCGGTTAGTAGAATGCAGGTTAATCAGGATGATTTTAGACAGCTCCTTAATTTTGAGGAAGCCTCCTGCTTGCTGAGGATTGTTGTTAAGTGGTCACCTAACATCAGTGTCTAATTTACAAACCACTTTAGACGTCATGTACACTCTTGTTTGTGCTGTTTTGACATGTGTTTCTGTTCAAGAAATAGCCTAGAATTTTAGCCTCAACTCTGATATCAGTCCATTACTACAAAAGAATGAGTATACCAAGCATACAGCCTAAATATATTGTACACATGTATGACATGATACATAATAAAAACCGAAAAACATAATAAAACTCAATCACAAGGTTTCTACACAAAATGGTTTTACTTTATTTACATTATTATTATTATTATTATTATTTAAGTATTTATTGTCACAAAATAGCAATAATAATAATAAAAAAAATAATAAAATATTTGAAAACAGAAAATGTGCAATATCTCTGCCCTTTTGACTTTTGGTTGATTTAAAAAAAATTGTAAGCAAAATTAATTTGAATTAATTAATTTGTCTATTTATGAATTATTATTTTTATTCAATTTAACTTATTAAAGTATTTATTTTATACAAAATAACTGAATTTTGTTAACATGAATTAGCTTAAAGGCCCGTTCACACCAAGGACGATAACTATAAAGATAACGATAAAGATATAGTACTAAAAATCGTTCTCAATATTAAAGAATAGCAGAGTCCACACCACAACTACAACGATAAAGACAAAGAGAAACGATATAGTTGGAATCACTTTCAAAACGATTTTTCTCCAGCTGATGAACGATAAAAAATTGACAGCCAATCAGAATGCATCCTGCTGTAACGAGCTCGAGAATTTAAAGCGGCAGATGAGCGTGCGCTTAGAATGAACAGACGATATCGTTCGCTGGTGTGGACGCTAATATCGTTATCTTTATAGCTATCGTTCTTGGTGTGAACGGGGCTTAAATTCAATATTTGAAAAAAGAGAATGTGTACAATATCCTTGTACACGGCTGTAAACACATTTCTGTTAATTGTACAAGTGTGTATGGTATCGGCTGATGCTGAAAATCACAAAATGGCTAAATATCGGATGAATGAATCAGCTCGGCAGACATATATCAGCTTATCATTATTAATACAAATCATGCATTAAATGATAAATGCATTTAACTAATTCTTTATATTGCGTTACACCCTGTTTTTAATAATTGGAAAATTTTCAACGGCAACAAATTAAGAATATAAAAGCATGACAGTAATTACATTCAAGATCCTTAAAATAAAGTTAGGCAAACTCATAATGCATAATAAAGCCTATCACTGGCACATTTTCATAATTAAAATGCATTAGCTAATACAGACACCCACAAACATCTAGTTCTCACTGTAGGTTTCATAAAATATACATGAACAGCAAAGTGATGATACCAAATATCCAGCCAAACTTTGCACACGCAACGCCTGCTGCTTTGGGATCAACCTTTTAAAAATCTATTTCCTTTTCAGTGCACAAAAACAGACCCCTCCCACTCCCTCATCGAAGACATACTTTCATGTAATTCCCATGAAGCATTTGTATAAGCATGCCCCTACCTGTACTTTATGCAGAGCAATGAGCAGATGCTACTCATCCTAGATCATCAGATAAAAAGAAAGGAAAGAACTGTCTGAAGGTTTGTTGAGCTCCGATGAAGGAGGAGGGGGCTGGGGGATTGAGGAGAGAGGACGAGGGGGGACAGGAACCCTACACTAATTACCTTTTTATGATGGGGGATCTCTCGTGTGTTTAGAGACGTTAGACTAATGGTGTAGAAGGGCCCTTCAGTGAAGTTTTGGACCCTGCGATCTAATCATTGAGAATGCACAACAGGCGAATGGTAAAAAGATAAATATAACCTCTTATCATACCCCATCTGCGTCTATGCATCAACTCTGAAATTGCTTGAACTCATAGGCAATCTCATGCGTACGTGTAGAAATGTACCGTGGAGATGAGTGGAGCATCTTTGGTCTTTAATGGGCATCTGTGAGTCTGAGCAGACTGAAAGCCTCTGAGCCATCCAGATGGAACCCTGCCTAAATAAACCGCTCATTAGCCTATCGCCTTGGCAACATCATAACTTAATTTTAAGCAAATAATTGCATACTTTCTGGTAAACACCCTGCATGAACTCCAGCTATGAGAAAACGAGAATGGAATATCTTTTGAATGGCTTTTGTTCGCTCGGTGGCTTTGTTCTTGACGTTCTTGAAATTTGACAATGGTGATGTCTTGACGAAGACGTACGCCTTCACGTTCTCGGGGGAGCAGTTGCATCTCGTCACTTGTCTTCCTTCCACTCGCTTAACAGATTGATTACCGTGCAAACAGTCTTTCATTCACTTTAACTGTCACTGATCAACCTCTTATAAAGCCATCGAGTGATCAAATCAAATTGCTATTATCTTTTCCTTTCAAGATCCATGAATTGTCTGCTGACGTAATTGTTTTGCAATTGGAAACTTGCAGGCAAAAACTAAAAAATGTAGCGGTGCTTTATAAGGCCATGTAAAGCTGGTGTTGGTACTGTTAACTAAAACTAAAAGCTCTAAAAATTGTTTTAGATAACTGAAATATACAATCTAAGGGTATAAAATCTAAATAAAGTTCTAAATCCAAATTTGAGTTTAAGTACTAAAATGAATACCATTAAAGATTGAAATGAATCTCAAATAAAATATGAATATTAGATGAAAATTTTGAACTTAGACTTGAATGAAAATTAGAACAATTGCCTTGGCAACTACCAGAAAAAAGCTTAATTGTAGTACTAAAATTACTAAATCTAAAACTATTAAAAACTGTTTTCAGTGATTGAAATAAAGCTGAAATAACAAATAAAATATGAATATTTGATGAAAAACTTCTTAAACCTTAAAAGAATTACCTGAAATTGGTTTAAGTTAAAGTACTAAAATTACTAGAACAAAAAATGTAATTCAAAATAAAATAAATTACATCAAAAAGTATATAAATAAATTTAAAAAAAAATTATATAAATATATACAAAAATAAAAGTGAATTCAAAGTAGTAATACATATTATAATAATACGTAAATATTATTAAAAATAACACTGAAAATATTAGTGTAATAAAATAAAAAAAACAAAAATAATTATATATAATGTCATACAAACATTTGAAATATAATAGCTTTCATTTGTATCTGTTAATGTAATGTTGCATTACTGTTGTGTGTTCACATTTTAAATGATACACTCAAAGAGTCAGCTTCACAGATTGGAGCACAGCTGGGTCCCTTCACACAAGACTCATGGTCCCTAGGGGGCCCGCAACCTCTTAGCTCACATACAAACACAAGACTGAACAGGAGGATGGTGGTATTTGGCAGGAAGCTCCATAGGAGGATTTTAATTCGGTTTCCACGGGGCTGAGAGCGGTACGGGAGAGGGCGGGCAGATGGGGCTGGGACTCTCCAGGGAGCTGAGCCAGGTTTATAAAGGCCAGTAGATGGAGTAGAAAGAGGTAGATGAGGTGTGGATTCAGGGGTCAGAGCGACCTTACACTGTTTACAACCCAGCCACAACCATGACCAGACGGATCTACTTCACAAAACGTGTTGTCATGAATATTAATCAGGTGATGCATTCGTCCACCAAAAAACCCAAAGCTCCAAAAATGAGGTGGATGAATGTGGACGCTGTTACAAGAGAAGTAAAGCAGATGAACAGAACTGATTTAAGATGCTATCTTCTCTCTTAAGATCATGAGAAAGGCCCAAGATGACATAAGATCAATGTGCTGGTCAATAACCAATTCATCTCTGCCTTACAAACTGTGGTTTTTCAACAGTGTCTTACCTCCAGTAGACCAGGACAGCCAGCAGCATGATCAGACAGAGCAGCGTGAGGGCAGAGACCACCATCAGGGGGATGATCCACTCCATCCGGCTGGATGCTGACACCAGGTCCCGGGTGACAGTGGATATGCTGTTCCTCTCTGCATGGTGGTCAAAGGAGACCACAGCAAGGTAACAAATACAAAAGGCAAAATATTAATACAAAAATATTAGATGGACAGAGTCTATTCTGGTATAACAGGGTATATACAGGAATCATGGAGTTAAATTTAAGACCTTTTAAGACCTTTTTTAAGACTCTTTCCATACATTTTAAGACCTCATCGCCACTCCAAGTTTTAACCGGTTTAATCGGCGACACTTTAACTTACATTTACTATATATTGATTGTAAGATAGCACAACTAAACAGACTTACTTTGTGAAAACTCCTTATCAAAACAACATAATTCAGAAGGGAGGAACGAAGCACAAGATAATTAATTGAGTGACTAACCAAATGCAACCCAAGAAACAAGAATTAGACCAATAAACAAAACTGACTGATCAGACAGTTTACCTGTAATTACGGAGTGCTTGATTTGATGCAGACTTGACAAGAGTTTCAGTACTGCACCTGATCGTGTCTGAATGATCATGGAAGGTAAAATAATGATCACAACTATTACATCATTTTAATTGTGCATCCCAAGCCCATGCCAGTAATAAAAAAACAGCCCAAAGTAGCACAATTACCATGTTCCAAATATAAAAATGTAATTTCCATCCCTAAAATACATATTTTACAGTCACTGTTATGCACATTTATCATAAACATAGCTCAAATGCTTCCTACTAGTGTGGCCCAAAACATTTAGCACAGTTTTATTACAGGTAGAATGCAAAATGTTTCAGTAAAAGCATTTCAACCAAATGTAATTTATGCAATATTTCAAACCTTTAACCCAATGGGGAAAATCAACCCATGGCAACACTTTAAAAGCAGCCCAATTTCGTGGAAAAAAACAACAACAACAATAACCCTGCATCCAACACGAGCTGCAGAAGTCAGGTTTGACTGATCACGGGTCAAAAGTAAGGAGAGATAACTGACAAGATGTTGGAGGATTTGCTCCTCAACAGATCCCGAGCTCACTGACAAATATCTATTATCGTAAGATGTGCTCCCTTTACACAGTGCGTGCGCGAAATCGAAAGTGAAAGTGAACTGCGAGCTCTCATTCAAAAGGGATTTAAATATCCCACATACTGATAGCGGCGCCCTGATGCGCAAAAATTATATACAATATTAGAATGTTTGCGGAAGCGGACAAAAATCGTGGGAGCGGATGGGAGCATGCAGTAATGGTCAGAAATTCAGCGAGAGCAAGATCAACAAGAATCACGCAGCGTCAGTCAGTGAATTGCAATTGCATTCATACATATTCAGTAATTTATTCAAAAATTCATACATTTACAATAATCCATGTACAGTTTTTATTACATTACATATAACTTTATATTCTGTTTCTGATTATTTTATTATATTTTTATTTTTATATGATTTAATTTTGTTGTTATTATATATTTTATATTATTTAATAAAATGTTATTATATATTTTAAAACAGTTTTAATACATATTTATTTCATCATAATATTTACATCCATTACCATTCAAAAGTTTAGGGTTGGTAATTTTTTTTTTTTTTTTTGAAAGATGTCTCACCAAGGCTTCAATATTTGATCAAAAATACAAGAAGAACAGTAATATTGTGAAATATTATTACAATAAAAAAATAACGGTTTTCTATTTTAATATATTTTACCATGTAATTTATTCCTGTGATAGCAAAGCTGAATTTTCAACAGTCCTTAATCCAGCCTTTAATGTCACATGATCCTTCAGAAATCATTCTAATATGCTGATTTGGTGCTCAAGAAACATCTCTTATTATCAATGCCGAAAACAGTTGTGCTGCTTAATATTTTTGTGAAAATCGCAGTAGTTGTTTTAGAATTATTTTTCAAATAAAGAATAGCATTGATTTGAAATAGATTTTTTTTGTAACAGTGTAAAACGGTCTACTGTCTCTTTTAATCAGTTGAATGCGTCCTTAAAGAAATAAAACTTAATTTATTTCATAAAAATAAAAAATAAAAAATTGTTTACATTATGCATTTATTTATTTATTTGAACATTTTTAACATTATGTATTAATACATTTTAACATTTTATATTTCACTAGTCAATATATATGAATATATATTTTAATATAATTTAAGGTCATGTAAATTCTTTTTTTGGGCACAATTTGGCACAACTTATTAATTTTAATAGTACGGTCTATTTGTCCATTTTAGACTGCAAGTCTGTAGCTCACCTACCTGTGTGAATGTAGTACGGCCAGTGTGCCTTCTCCTCATTGGTGAGTTTGGTGGTCTCTGTCGAGCTGGAGGGAAGCTGCATATCTGCAGTGTCATTATCCTCCAGCCATGTTGTTTTTGATGAATCCTCACCAGAAGGCCTCTCTGTGGAACGAGGCACCTGCTCTTCCACTATTCTAGGGGCCAATGTGGAATTCTCAGTGTTAACATCGGCCCTCTCTCGACCCGGCTCCCTGTGTTTTGTAGTTGGGACAGGGGCAGGTGGTTTTCGTGGCACCGTCTTGTCCTGCTTTTTGTCCTTGACTGTCACATCTTTCCCCTTTTTTTTCTTCTCCTCTTCTCCCTGTTCCTCTTCCTCCTCCTCCTCTTCTTCTTCTTCCTCCTCTTTCTCCTCTCTTTCACGGTCATCTTCCTGTTTGTTATTTGCTTCAATGCTGTCCTCAGAGGTCAGGATGTTGCTGTCAGATGGAGTGCTTTCGGCAGTGGGAGTGGCTGGATGTTGAGTGGGTGTGGGGCCTGAGTTTGTAGAGTGGGTTGGCCAAAATGATCCTGGCAGGGAAGAAATCACACTGCCACTGAAACCCAGTCCTGCCAACAGAGTGCTGGTCACCACAGATGCTACAGTGGCTTGTCCTCCACTGGATGGAGGCCCCATTCCCGTTGCCATGGAGACGAAGGAAAAGGGGAGGCCGGCGGACGTCCAGGTAGAGGAGCCTGAGCTTATAGGGGCCATGTCTGCCGAAGAGGCGGGGGAAACTGTGGGCTAGAATGGGGTGGAAAAAGAAAAGTAATACTCTAACATGTGCAAACAAACCAATAAACTGGCTTAAGGTCGATAACTATAAATATCACTATACTAGCGTCCACACCAACACACAATAACGTTCTGATATTATAAGCATGCGCTGCAGCTCTGTCGTCTGCCGCTTTAAAATGCTCAAGCTCTTTAAAGCTGGATGGATTCTGATAGATGGCTTTCAATGTTTTATGGTTCATCAGCTGGAAAAACTAGTTGTGAAAGTGATTCCAATGATCTTGTTTCTCTGTGACGTTATCATTATAGTTGTGGTGTGAACTCTGCAATTAAATTTCAGAAGGATTTTTAAAACTATACCTTTATCGTTATTGTTATAGTTATAATCCTTGGTGTGAATAGGCCTTATTAAAAAAAAATAAACCAGTTACCCACCATTCCAGTTTTCACAATCCTTGTGCCCTCAAATATCCTTGTGGTGTTTGCTTGAAGAATAAATCACACAGCATGACAATCAGTTCTAATGAAGGACTTGAATAGCAGCAATTGATCATGTTGAATTTTTCACGAACAGAAAGTCTCTTAAACTTAGACAAACCTTTGAATAAAAGTGTTTGGCTGAAGTCACTGCGCTGGTCTCTCTGACATACAGCTTGCACTCTGAACAGATACAGGACATCTGGAGACACGAGTGTGATGACCGCCCTCTGCAGGAGACATACGACACACCATACATTTTAATAACAGTACAACACATAGATGGCAGGAATAGAAACTGGATACCTTCAGAATAACTCATACTACCTTTGCAGTAATGTACACTATGCACATTTTCAGCATGCAAGAAATACCCATATAAACCCTCAATTGTTTGTTCAATAAGGATGCATTAAATTTATCAAAATTTGAACTTTCTATTCATCGAAGAACCTTGAAAACAATGCATCATGATTTCTACAAAAATATTAAGCAGCACAACTGTTTTCAACACTGATAATAATAAGAAGTGAGTGCCAAATTAGCATATTAGAATGATTTCTGAAAAATCACGTGACACTCAAGACTCGAGTAATGGATGCAAAATTACATTTTAATAACATTTACATTAAAATAGAAAACAGCTATTGTAAATTGTAATAATTTTCACAATATTACAGTTTTTGCTCTAATTTTGATCAAATAAATTCAGCCTTGGTGAGCATATAAGAGACTTCATTCAAAAACATTAAATAATCTTATCAACCCCAAACTTCTGAATGGTACTAGTGTACATTTGACAACGTGCACTATACAACAGTATAGAACAAAATAACCATTGTTTTATAATGGAGAGCAATGGCTGTACATTTTTGAAACATTTGTCATTGCAATTGCATGTTTGAGAGCTATGGAACGATATTCCGGACAATTTTCAAATAGAATAGCAAATTGTATTTTCAATTGCGTTTTCAATATGTGGACGCATAAATTGTGACATAATCCAAATGCAATTGCAAATCCTGCATTAGCGTTTGCATTTTCGCTTTCGCGAACGCACAGTGACTGCCAAATTTCAAATGAAAAAGCAAAGTCCATTTGCAGCTGTATTTCCCATGTCTTAGGAGTTACGAGCCTGTCATATTTAAATAGCAATATTAATTACCACGTCTGCTTTTTCACTCTTGCTGCGTCGCGCATGTAACCTGCCAAAACTCAAATGGAATCGCAATTCCTTTTGCATTTGAATTTCCGATGTCTACACGGAAAGCTGTCAATCAATGTGAGGGGGCGGGGCTACACTAGGGGGCGTGTTTGTGTTGGAAGGTGACGTCACTCACAGACGACCGCGCCGAATGCTCTGATCAATGGAGGAAATCGGTAAAGGCTCCGCTAAAGGCAGCTACCAATCAGTTTCACACCTGTGTGAACGAACAGACAGTGCAACCTTCTTGGCACAATACATAATTACGTCTTTTTTACCCCAAATGTAGCGATTATCCCCTGCTAACAGCGGGAGCCACAACGGTACGCACAATAGCTCAATATTCACTATAAACCAAACGCTTTTCACCTGTCTCAGCATTTCTCCCTGTTTACTCTCACTTGCACCTTTAATCCGTAATAGAGAGCGTGTCACACCTGCCTCAAGACCTTTTACCGTTTGCACCGCACTTGATGCATTTCATTAGACAAAAAATGTGTACTAAACCTTGAGCAAGAGATGACAGCATTAATATTTAATTCATTTTCCAGGAAGAGATTGGAAATTTTCAATGAATATATATATCTGCTGAAAGTTTTTGGTGTAGAGATGGCCTCAAAACTAAAAGACACCACAAAACTCCAATTTTGATTTCAAGCTGTCTTCAGTTCACCAAAATTAAGTCTAATTTACTGATTGGGAATGTTAGACAGTCAGAGTGTCCCTTCAACAGCTACACAACAAATTCAAAAACCTCATTACACAACACAGAGCGAGCGGATGTAAATCTGACAAGATCTTATTTTCCAAAACCGAAATGTCAAAGCAAATTTGACATCTGCCATTATTATTTGTATAAAATGACACTTACTTATTGCAATGTTCTGCTCCAGCTTTCAGCGATCCTCAGTGTCCCAGAAATAGATAGATATTCATTTGAATTTCATATACCCAAAGTTGGTCTTGATTCGCTGGCACAACATTGTGACTGGGCTCAAAATCGAAATAAAAATGTAAACGTAGTGGCAAAAAAAAAGAGGGAGTCATGATGGGATGTAGAGTGAAAGAAAGTAATTGGACTTTAACCGTGGCATTTATATCCCTCAACTAAATCCAAATCTAATTTGACCAAGGCTAAAAAAGACTGACAGCGCTCATCAGAAAAAGTTCCTTTAGCTGGCTGGAAACTGTCTTGTTGTTATGGATACTGTGTGTGTAAGGCCGCTCCAATAAGGTGACTGACAGACATGGGAGTAAGTCATTCATTAGACTTGAAGGAAGAAAGACAAAATGCTGTCCTAGTCCATCAAATCGATGAAAGCAGTCCATCTATCAGAATTATAAGGGAATGCTGGGATGCAGAAGACAAGGCTCCCGCCACAGGTTTTGAAATCATGCTTAAGTTGCTGTATCAAGGGTCAAATTTATATAGATTTTCAAATGTTCAAATTAAATGAATTAATTGGCTCATAATGCCAATCGGGCCACCCTGCAGTCCTCACATCTGTCCCGTAAAACAGTGTCTGCTACAGTCTTTTTTATTCTCTTTCATTGTAGATAACTGCCAACAAGTCTGGGCACTACAACATGTCTTGAGATCCTGGATTTGTAATAGCGGAGGTGTTCCATTACATCTTACACTCCTATCTAGCTCAAGAGTCTTCAGCAGGGGTCTGTGACACCCTAACACCATGTCCTAACTACACGCGTCTAAAATATTACTAACTACACGCGGCGCAACGCTGCGACACACCGTAAAAGGTATCGTTTCCATGTTAATCAGGGGTTTTGTCCTAACCAGCCACGACGGCGACACGCAAAGTTCCTATTTTAGAAACGGTTTCTATTTCTGTGATGCCGCGGCTGGAACAACAACATAATAACTATGACAATGATAATCTCAAGTACTGATTATGTGCTTTATTTAATGTTAAAAGTGTCTGACATGAGTTTGAATATTATTTTGCGTGACCTTTATAGCCATATTGAAAGCAACAACCGATAGTTTACCTCAGATTTTGAAAATAAATTAAAGCAATTCTTGTCGCGTCGTGTCTGGTGTAAGGGGTCCTTAGTGGTACTGCAATTTTTTGGGGGGAAGCCAATATTTTTTTTTATGTTTCTTATGCTCACCAAGGTTGCATTTATTTGTTCAAAAAACAAATGTCGTTAAATATTGTTTAAAATCATTTAAACATTACTTTAAAATAACAGTTTTCTATTCTAACATATTTCAAATGTAATTTATTGCTTTGATGGCAAAGCTGAATTTTCAGCAGACATTACTCCAGTTTTCAGTGTCACATGGTCCTTCAGAAATCATTTTAATATGCTGATTTGTTCCTCAAGAAACATTTTGACTTATTATCAATGTTGTAAACAGTTGTGCTGCTTAATTGTTTTGTGGAAACCATGATACATTATTTTTTTCAGGATTCTTTTAATGAATAGAAAATTCTAAAGAACAGCATTTATTTAAAATATATATAGACCACTTAAAAACTTAGGCGCCAAATTATTTTTTATTTTATTATTTTTATTATTTACATTTTAACATTTCAATCATACTGTCATGTGTTTATGTCTCATCTTTTCTTGACTTTATCAGCATTTTAATCGATCTAAGGTTCACTTAAAGTGGGAACTAAATGTCTTTTCAAAACGTGAAATATACAGTCACAAAGAATTATATAAATAATATAAAAGCAATCGTTATAATACTTTTTTATACATTTTAATTCCTTCGTTTAACAGTTCTATCAGATTATTAGACAGACTTCTATCCATATTAGACAGAACTGTTAACGACGGCGGCGAACAAGAGGGAGAACGTGAGCACTGTGTGCTGCTCAGGCGCCGTCAAAATAAAAGTCCCGCCTCGAACGCATCGGCCAAACAGAAAAACTCATCGGCCAATGCCGATATTTGAAAAATGCTAAATATCGGCCGATATATCGGTCGACCACTACTCCTATAAGAAAAAAAACGTAGGCGCCAAATTATTTTTTAGGTGCCACAGAATTTGTTACACAAAAGTTACACAGAATCTGTACCAATATCGTGGACCATAAGCATTACTTGGCCACTGAGTGTAGTTTGGGCTCCTCCTCAATGCATCCTGTAAATGTTGTCAAACACTCTTAAAAATAAAAAGGTTCTTCAAGATGCCATGTAGTTTTGTCTAAATGCTTTCATAAAGAACCTTTAACATCTGAAGAACCTTTACATTTCACAAAAGGTTATTTGTGGTGAAAGAAGGTTCTTCAGATTATAAAAAGTTGAGAAAGAGGTGGTTCTTTAAAGAACCTTTGACGGAATGGTTCTTTGTAGAACCAAAAATGGTTCTGTAAAGAACCTTTTAAGCACCTATATTTTTAAGAGTGTATGTCTTTCACACTTTCAGTCTGTTTTTCTTAGTAAAAATATTAATATGCAATAGTGTATTTACTATCCTCTTTATAGTTCTTTTTCTAGCTGACTGATGAGTTTAGGGACACCGAATGGTTATTCTGAGGTAAATGTAGCCTATATTACATTGCAATGTTTACAAGCTTTACACGTCTTCCGCAGTTTGAAACACTGAATGAGCTTTTACATGAGACATTTCAGTAAGTTGTACTGTAGGCTCTCTTATAAAATAGCCTACCTTTTGATCTTAATTCATGTTTATTATGTATAGTAGTAAAGAGAAAGATTAAATGGGTTCACTTGCCGCTTGAACTGAGGCGTTAAAGTGATCGCACATGCTGCATTAAAGAGTGCCAAAAACAAAACTGTATTTATTGTTTGAATTTCGTAATGAATTTGGAATCATTTTAAAGCTAATACTTTGTTTATTAAAAAGTAACAAAGCAAAAAGCTTTTTGCGATTACTGGACGGCAAGTGCGCTTCAAATAATATGAAGTTCACGCTTTAACAGAACACAGCATAGACTAAGATCTTGTTAAGAAGAAGCCATATTAGTAATGATTATAAATGAGAATTGTTAACGATATTGCCAGTATCCACATAGCTGACAGCTTTACCTGTTGTAGTTTGTTGAAGTTGTGCACGAAATAGACGCTGTTTTCTGCACTTTCACTTCGCATGTCTCTGTCATTTCGAGTCTCGCGCTGCACAACTGAGCTGTGTTTAGCAGGTGTGCGGCAATGCTGCTGTGCGGCAGAGATGAGGACTGTTTGAAAATCTTTTTTCCACTAAAACTTTGATGCGCATCATCTCAGTTTAATATGTGAACATAACAAAAGATGTGATCGCAAAACAATCAGGAAAAAAGGCATTACGAGACATTTCAGTAAGTTGTACTGTAGGCTCTCTTATAAAATAGCCTACCTTTTGATCTTAATTCATGTTTATTATGTATAGTAGTAAAGAGAAAGATTAAATGGGCTCACTTGCCGCTTGAACTGAGGCGCTAAAGTGATCGCACATGCTGCATTAAAGAGTGTCAAAAACAAAACTGTATTTATTGTTTGAATTTCGTTATGAATTTGGAATCATTTTAAAGCTGATACTTTGTTTATTAAAAAGTAACAAAGCAAAAAGCTTTTTGCGATTACTGGACGGCAAGTGCGCTTCAAATAATATGAAGTTCACGCTTTAACAGAACACAGCATAGACTAAGATCTTGTTAAGAAGAAGCCATATTAGTAATGATTATAAATGAGAATTGTTAACGATATTGCCAGTATCCACATAGCTGACAGCTTTACCTGTTGTAGTTTGTTGAAGTTGTGCACGAAATAGACGCTGTTTTCTGCACTTTCACTTCGCATGTCTCTGTCATTTCGAGTCTCGCGCTGCACAACTGAGCTGTGTTTAGCAGGTGTGCGGCAATGCTGCTGTGCGGCAGAGATCATTGCCAACAAAGGGTATATAACAAAGTATTGAGATGAAATTTTGTTATTGACCAAATACTTATTTTCCACCATAATTTGCAAATAAATTGTTTAAAAATCCTACAATGTGATTTTCTGGATTTTTTTTTCTCATTTTGTCTCTCATAGTTGAGGTATACCTATGATGAAAATTACAGGCCTCTCTCATCTTTTTAAGTGGGAGAACTTGCACAATTGGTGGCTGACTAAATACTTTTTTGCTCCACTGTATATATATATATATATATATATAATTAATTAAGTAATTAAATACTTTCTAAATTAAATTTAGTTTTGTAGTTATTGATAAAGTTATTTTGAAGTTATTTAATTTACATTAAAAAAAAAGTTTTGACAATAAAGGTTGACAAGGCAATCATTCTTACAATTTATGTAAAAATGTAGACATTGGATTGGTTTTGTTGATTGCTACATAACAATATCATATCAAACTAATCTGAGCATATCTAATAATTCTCACAACAAAAACGAAGCAAGCAGTCAAAAGTGTACCCTAATTTAAGGAAAACACCATGGAAGAAAGCATTTGAAACCGAAAAGAAAACAGAAATAGAAAAAAATAAGCACTATGATAAAATTATGCATTATTGCAAAGGGTTTTCACAACCGCTTGCTTTCGAAAACGCCAGAACTGCTATTTGGCCACACAGTGTTCATTTGTACGAGTTTATTTTTAGAAGGAATATTAATGATGATTATTCCACCTTTCGGCTGTGTTGCATCACTCCCGACTTCATCACAACCAATAGCAATCAATTCCCTCAGCCGGAGAGGAAAACAACGCTATCATTAACACACACACAGTACAGCGTCCCCCCAGTTGCTGGCTCGGATCAGAGCGCTGCGCTGCTGTAGTCACTGCATTAATAAATCCTATTTATTCAGTCTGTCTCAAGAGCAATGGATATCCCAAAAACAACCAGCTTTGCACTTCAAGCATGAGACGAATGAGAAGAAACCCAAACAAGACGTCTATGAAGTACAAAACTGCACTTCAGTTTTAGCCAAGAGAAATAACCACAGTTCCAGTGGTTTACATTCATAAAAACTGTTTCCTGAAATGGACATTGTTACTATTTCCTAATGATAGGATCATTTTGAAGACTATGACAGTCTATGTTGTATCGTTAGTATTATCATAGGAATAAAAAGAAAACATTCTTCTTGCTTCTTCTTTGATTGGTCAGGCCTGATTTGGGAAGGAAGCCATCATACCTCGAGAAGTTTCTGAGTCTGCAGCGCTGGCCATGCTGTCTGTCATGAGGTCGGGCATCCAAGCATCCATCAGAGCCGATTTGAAGATCTGCCGGCTGTCGAGATCCTGAGTGGGCCGATGGTTATTCCTCAGGTAATCCACGGACTTCACATGATCCTGCTGCTCTGTGGTGAAGATGGAGTAGAACGCCTCCAGCTACAGAGGCAGAAAGACAAAGTACAACATTATCCACGAGTTTAATCATGATTTTCTTTTTCATTTCATCATTTTTAGGTTGTCTTTGCAAGGGAATGTATGAATTCATTTTCAGCCAAAAAGGGTGTAGAAAGGAGAGAAGTGCGTGCTGATGGGCATGACTTTGTGGCTTTATTCTGTGTGATGCCGATGTTAACTGTGTACACATCTGGCGAAAAAAATATGATTTATTCAGAGTTAAGTTACCAATAAGTCATACATCAACATAAAAGTGTATAAATTATTATAGTGATTTTTTGGTTTTGGAGGCTTGCTAGGCCATAGATGTGGTTAAGAGGACTCTGCCAGTCATTTATTATTCACATAAACAAAACCTGATTGAAAAAAAATCTGATTGCTTAGAAATTGTGAATGATATTTCTATTATAATTCTGCATATTACTACTACTACTCTTACTAATTATTATCATTACTATCAACCTCAATACTTTTGCATTAATTAACAATTTAATGTAAATAAGTAAATAATGAAAATAATAATAATTATACATAATTAAAATAATAATATATTATTAATGTTAATATTAATAATACACTGTTGTTGTTGTTGTTGTTATTATTATTACATTTGATATAATAATAATACTATTTAACAATATTGTATTTATTATTTATAAAGTATTATTTAAATGTGCATTATTAATTATTACATATAAATAAATAAATAAAACATACTACCAAATTAAATAAATAAATAACACTAATACTGGATAATACTGATATGGTCACAAATATATTGTGCATCCCTATAATAATTTTAGAAAGAGTTGTATTAGTGGTGAAAATCAGCAGCACTTCATTATATTCAATGTAATGATACTATATATCTACAACACATATATACATATACATGCATCAATTTGTTTAGTAAATCATCTGCACCGTTTCATTTCCAGAAACATTTAAGCGCACAGCAGATGAGTCACATTGCTAGTGTAATACTGTCTGTTTGTGTGCTTGCTTGCAGATGGTACAAATATGATACAGAAGAATGAACGCAGACCAATTTCAAGCATAGTGCACACAGCTGGAGGTGATACATGATCATATGAATGTGAAGTGCATGTAGGCATGATTATATGTGTGTGTGTGTGTGTGTGTGTGTGTGTGTACGCGTTTTTGTGACAAATGAGGACATACATTTGTATAATGACAAAGGTATGACATAGGTATTACAAGGAGAAGGTGACTTCAGAACATTACCCCATGTCCCCACTTTTCAAAAAGCTTATAAATCACACAGAATGGAGTGTATTGAAAATCTGAAATAGCACAAAGTTTCCTGTAAGGGGTAGGTTTAGGGGTAGGGTTGGTGTAGGGCAATAGGATATATGGTCTGTACAGTATAAAAACCATTACGCCATTGGGATGTCCCCACTTTTCACAAAATATTCTAGGGATGCACAAACCTGTGTGTGTGTGTGTGTGTGTGTGTGTGTGTGTGTTTGCCAACCTGGTGGTAGGAGAGGTAAACAGGTCGACTGAAGATGATCCACTCCACGACTTTACTGCAGGGAGGTGTCGTGAGCGAGCCGGTGTAGCGGTAATAACTTTCCAAAGATGATGGCAGCAGATCCCTCAGTATGAATGGACCAAGGTTTGTTTCCTTCTCTGTTAAACAAAAGACACAGAATAAACACTCCAAGACTGAAGAAGATCTTATGAAGCCTGACTGAAGTACTATGAGGCAGCAAGATATGTAGCACAAGCTTTGGTGACATTTTTATTATCTTATTGTTAGTTCTTCTGGCATTCTGGTATGCCCAGCTTTCTCTTTATTTCCAGACTGTAACTGGGTGGGCAAAGTTTCTGAACAATAGATGCGGCGATTGCATGTTAAACTTTTAGGACCTTGCATAGAGTTTTGATAAAATTTACAATTACATTACTATTGAAAAGTTTGGGGTCAGTAAAATAAAAAATTCTACTTTTAATAAGTAACTATGAATGGAATTGCTCAGAAGTGACAGTCAAGGCCTTTATAATGTTACAAAATATTGTCTTTCACACCAATGCTGTTCTTCTGTACTTTCTATTCATCAAAAAATCATGAAAAACTTTTCATGGTTTCTACATAAATATTAAGCAGCACAGCTGTTTTTAGCATTGATAATAGTAAGAAGTATTTCTTGAGGAGCAAATCAGCATATTAGAATGATTTCTGAAGGATCATATAATACTGAAGACTGGAGTAATGATGCAGAAAAAAAATCAGCTTTGCGATCATTTGCGATGACATTTTAAAATATATTAAAAATAGAAATCATATTTTAAATTGCAATAATATTTCATAATATTACTGTTTTTGCAGTCATTAAAAAAACAACAACTAACCGACACAAACTTTTGAACAGTAGTGAATGTTTTCATAGTAGTTAACTTTAATAAAAATTTTTTTAAAAAAGACAATTCGAAATTCATATTTAGTTTCTCATTATGTGGATTCCATGTTTTTAATTCCAAAAGAGAACCTTTTGAAATTTGTGGTTCTTTTAGAAAACTGTCTATTTGCTTCCAAGAACCTAGAAAAGCTTCACTTTTCCTCTATTAGAACCAATATGTTGTATTGGTTCTATATATTGCTTAGCTATAAAGTGTAGCTATATTGCAACACTTTGACTTTTTAATCTCCAAAGAGCCATATAACCAACTGTAGGTTATATTAGGGCTGCCCCCTAATAGTCGACTAACCATTACTCGACCAGAAGAGGCTTGGTCGACCAAAATTTTTTTTAGTTGCTTAGGTGCAGAAAAAAAAAATCCACAGGCGAAGTCACGCAGTTTGTGACGGACAGATCATTAACGACTAGTCTATGGTAATACAGTAGCTACATTGGGCAGGACATCCAAACGCTCACCTATAATTCATCCACCACAAATATGGCTTATCATCTGAAACATGTACAGGTGCATCTCAATTAATTAGAATGTTGTGGAAAAGTTCATTTATTTCAATAATTCAACTCAAATTGTGAAACTCGTGTATTAAATAAATTCAGTGCACACAGACTGAAGTAGTTTAAGTCTTTAGTCTGGAGGAAGGGTGGAGAAGCTCATAGCCCAAGTTGCTTGAAGTCCAGTGTTAAGTTTCCACAGTCTGTGATGATTTGGGGTGCAATGTCATCTGCTGGTGTTGGTCCATTGTGTTTTTTGAAAACCAACGTCACTGCACCCGTTTACCAAGAAATTGTGGAGATGCCAAAATTACCATTCTAATTTATTGAGATGCACCTGTAAGTATTATCAACTTTACATGACCTCTCAATCTAATGTTAGGCTAGCCTAGAAAAATGTGCGCTATTGAAGTGTCTATGTGGAGTGTAGAAGAAGCGCACTCACTGCGAGACAGATGGAGGCGCCGGTGCGCTCACTTGCTCTTTAAATACTCCATAATTTCTGGTCATACAGATAAGAGCAATACATCTTTCGAATCTGTAAAGACTCTACGTTTATTTATGTGCACTCACAATAACAACAAAACATTGTGCTTTTGTAAAATAATGAATGCAAACAGGATGAGCTTTCTGCCGTTGGATCTCCGTTGGATCTCCGTGAACTTGAGCGCGAAACTCCGTGTATGCTTGCCTTGAAGAGAGTGAAGTGTCTACTTTGAAATGAACCAAATCAAATGGAAAACAATTATTCTTGGATTAAGTAATCCGTATGAAACATGCATACAGGCGCATCACTACTGCGGAGATGACGAGTTACGTCGACTTTATCTCTTAAACTGAAAACTAAAAAAGCAGTAGTTTATCAATAAATTATTAAAATGGTAATGCAGCCTCCCTCATTAACTGTTTTTCCCTGACACATTCATAATCATAGCTTCTGCGGTGCGCTGGGGCAAGCTTTATGTGTGTGCTTGAGCGCTTATTAGGCTATGTAGGCAATTAAAGGCTCATTATAATGATTTAAATTGTTTATTAATAAATGTGCGATTAGTCGACTAATGCTTAAAATTAACGACTATTAGTCGACCAGAAAAATCTTTAGTCGGGGGCAGCCCTACTGTATATACAGGAAAAAATGGTTCTTGGTAGAAAACATCTTTTGTGCTAAGGCTTAGATGCTCAGTTTTTATTATTTATTACATTTATTTATTTTTATTTCCTTTTATTATAAATGAGCCCTCTGAAAGCTGTTTATATGGCAACATTTACCGTGATGGACTACTCGTTTGAGACCTGTGATGATGGGCTCAGCTGCAATGTTGTCTTTCTTCGCCACCTAGAAAAAAAACAGAAAAATGTGCCATGAAATTAACGATTATTCAGTTTTTCTATGTTAAAGAAATATAAAAAGGATGAGCTTCATTTAAATCCTGCTGTTATCGAACATAAGTTTCCCATGTTCTCTGCTTATGCAACATTAAAAACTAGAGCACGCTGACATAAGCACCTTTTATTCAGGTTGATGGAGAAGCTCATTCAGGTCAGAGATGAAATATACTCACTCGTGCTCTCTGAGGATTCATTTGGTTGAACAAGATGGCAATAAAAGAGCCCAAGGGAACCACCAATACAGGAGCTCCACATCGATTAACTATATAAAAACCCCAAGGAACGGACATGTCACACGCCACATGACACCATTTGTCTAAGCACTAATAGCGGTAAGCCATAACGCTGTCACAAGTGGGCGAAAGAGTTTAAGTCCACCGACGTAGGTTATTCTTTCAGCGTTTGACAATGGATAAACATAGGACACACCTGCGTTCCACTTTCAGCGTGAAGGATAGGCCTGTCAAATTAGTTAAGGTGTGTAAAACCTACTGTATGTGAGTGTGCAAAGAATGTTGTGAATGAAGGGGAATGAATGCGGTGCCGCGCTGCAAAAAAAGCTTGTGTTATTTTCACGGATCATCACACTGACTTGTTAAGCCTGTTTTTCCTCTATACATTTATATGACATCTCTGAATACTGAGGCTGTGCACCACAAATCTTCTTTTTTTTGGCTTGAATCATTAAGAAAACCGTGGAAATTGTGCCATTTTCACCCTTGATAAGAACATTGGTCACAGTTGAAAAAGAAGGAAAAGTAAAAATAAACAAACAAGGAGACAATGCTGGTAGGAGCATAATGGTATGTTTTCGCTCTGTTATGTCACTTCACCTTCAACTAGTCCCTCAGTTTGTAAAAACGAACGAAAAAATGTTGGCAGTGATGCAGTTACAGTGGAGGTCTACGAAGCAAGGCATTTCAAAAGCAGAAATATTAAGCTTGCATTTTCATTTATGCAGTTATATTTGGGTTAGTAAAGTATATATATATATATATATATATATATATATATATATATACTTAATATCCTAATGATTTTTGGCATAAAAGACTATTTATTAATACATAAAAATATATAAATACATAAATTGTGGCAAAAGATTTATTTCATATAAATGCTATTCATTTGAACTTTCTATTCATCAATGAATCCTGAAATGCATCACAGTTTCCACACAAAAATCAGTTTTCAACATTGACAATAATAATAACTGTTTCTTGAGCATCAAATCAGCACATTACCATCTTTGCCGTCACAGGAATACATACAATTGTGAAACATATTAAAATGGAAAACAGTTATTTTAAATTGTAATAATATCTTACAGTATTACTGTTTTTACTGTATTTTTGATCATATAAATGCAACGTTGGTAAGCAGAAGAGACTTTCAAAAACATAAAACAAAATCTTACCAAATCTAAACTTTATGAACAGTAAAATAAGTTACACTAGCTGTAAAGTTGTCTAAATCATCCTTTCAGTGGTCAGACTTCTTTTCTAGAGGATAAAATCTGATTATGCAGGCCCAGATGGAAAGCAAAAATAAAGTCTGCAGATTGCCCACAATAATCTGCAGACTTTATTTTTGTTTCCCATCTGGGCCTGCATAATCAGACTTTTATCCATAAACCACAATAATGACCCTAATATATTAAAATAACTTTATCAGAATACATGGCTAACTACATCTACCACAAGAAGCCATGCTAACCAGCCAAATCTCGACCTCTTGATTACGTCATGTCATTGTTTACATGTTCATAAATGAATAAAGATCACAAGAACCTTTGAAGAGACAATGTTACAAGGCCGCTTCATCATGCTAGTCACTCACAAAGTCTTGCAGCTATACACTTCGGAAGCAGTTTAGTTGTACTTTAACTTTTATCCCATTGCAATGCCTTGCCCCATGGACTCTCATTATTCTTTAAAACTGAAGCAAGAAGCAAGTTTATTCTATTATACTGTGAGAAGAGCGCGAGAGAAAGATGGCTAGAGGGTAGCAGAAGATGTCTGCACTTTCTTCTACCTGTTGCTAATGGTGAAAATAGGCCCTGAGGCTACATGGGCCCAACCCAAATCTATCTGATGTTTTTAGTCTCTTTCTCTCTGTCTCTGGTATCATGAGCTATAAAGCCCTATTTCACAGGCTGGTAAACATTTGAAAATCCCCCCAAAAAATCAAAGAAGATCTTCACCTGAAAGAAGACAGCCAAGGCGGCGATGATTCGTCTCTCCTTTATCGCGGTGCTCAGACTGTCAAAATCATCTGAATTGTAGAAATAAATCTGCATCTATGAGGCAAAGAGATGAGAACATGTTTTTATAACTGCATTCTTACTTGACAGGGTTTGAAACGGCTCATACTAATGTTCTGCTTTGACTTTCCTGTTTGGTAAACACAAAGCATTGTGGTATCGAAATTGGTACAGTATGCTGTCAAATCCTCACAAATTGATATTCCTCTCATCATCTTCACACACACAATAACGGCATATCTGGCATATCCTACTTCTCTCATCACTCCACATTTTGACATCTGAGACAACTAAGGATTATATGCTTTCTCTCTGAGGACGGATTTGGGGAGAAAGTGAACCTCGGAAGCAAATCACCTCAGCGCGGCGCAATAAACAACATGTCTTTGTTGCCTTAAACATTGTCTCTGAACAAATGCACAAAGTGCCATGTGTCAAATAAATGCTAAATCTACTATTACAGAAAAAATAGGGACGATCGCACAAAGACAGAGAAGGGGACAAAAAGGAAAGCGGGATGAATGGCATGCCGAAGCTCACAGCAGCTGAGCAATCGTGAAAGAGATCGTTGAAATGCAGGGAATAAGATTAAGCCTCGCTATGACAATAACGTTCCAATCGAGCTTATTTTCTGGCAGCCTTTCATGTGGCAGCATTATTTGCCTGCCGATGTTGTTCTCTCTTCATTTTATTTTGTGGACTTCGCTTTAGCACATTTCCCGGGTCATTTAATGGTGCGTGTAAGAAAAATAGCAAGCTCTTATTTTGTTAGACCAGTGCTTCTCAACTGACAGCGAGGCAGTCTCTTTTGATAAGGTTGCAGACAGGAAAAGAGAAAGCAATGCTAAATGCAAAGAATAAAATGCGGCTAACCATATGATCTTACATTTCAGGACAGGAAAATACTTTTTTTTTAAAGAAATAAAGCAGAGGCTTTGTGTAATATCCAATCAAACTCAACCTTTTAGAAGCTAGACAAATTTGCTATAGTAAAACATGCACAGTAAAAAATATGACACAAACTACATAACAAACAGGTTACAGATATAATATTGGCCTGTTATGTGGTTGCTAAGGCATTCTGGGTGGTTTTTAACACTTTTTTTATGTACTGTAGTTGCATACTAACACTTTGGTCCCTAGATATGAATTTATAGTAGGTATATGGATTTGCTCACGTGCTTTATCATCAGACAGACAAAAAACACAAGTCTGATCACTTAAAAAATTAAAGAACATTCCTCCTCAAAAAGATGCACGATTTGAGATACGCTTAAATAGTATGATATAGTGAGAATGTGCAGCTCAATCTCAAGGAGGAAAAAACACTTTTATTCAGAGGCCCAAAGTGAGAAATAATATGCAATTTTGTAAAGACAACAGCCTACTTAAATCAATTAGAGAACAGATTACTTGCATAAAATGCATATAAATAACAGTAATCACGCTGTATCTCCCAAAAATGCCTTAAGATGATATTTAAATGCTTTATATATCTATTTTAATTTAAATAATTTTATTATCAAACCTCTGTTTACATTATAGCAAGATATTTCTTAAAAATTATTTATGGATATTCAAGTAACCCCAAGGTGTTTCGGTCCAATAAATGTTATTCTTAAGTTTACTTTATAAAAATCATTAAAGATTTCATAGCAAAAATACATGTGCACCAAAACCTGAGAGCGGACATTTTTAGAAGTATATTAAAAGGCCTTTTACATGCTAAAAAAGTATGAATTATCAGTCAGAATGGCAAAACTGCATTCAGAAGATTTTTGATCATGTTGATAATTCAGAGGCCTTAGATTCATGTTTCAAATATGATACAGTAGGCGTTATAGGGTTAAGCCATAAAAGCCTGATGCATCAAATGTGATACAAAACATAAAACACGTGCACCCTTTTTTTTTTAGTATTTTAAACAAATATTTTATCTAAAGTTTCAATAAACTGTTCCAACTATTCCAAAAAAACTATAATTTCATGTCAGGCTTCACAGGTTTAACATCTAAAGCAAACAGTATGTGCTGAAGTTTAATACTTCGGTTTAAGAGTTCATTTAAATACTCATGCTGATGCTTGTTCATTTAAATACTCATGCCTTGGCAAGCAACACTAATAAAAGTGGCAAAAAGGCCAAAAAATAAAATAAACGTTATTGCTGTTGTAGTTTAATTTACTGTGCCAGATTTGAGCCAGAGGTCAATAGAAGTCGTCGAGAGATAATTGGATGCATCTCTTCTCAGTCTCTGTCTTCAGTGCGTTTGGGTTTTAAATCGCTAGATAATGCTTAGCGGCTATCCAGTGGCGTACGGATACACATCAATTGTATTTCGGTGTAAAATGGGATTTATGGAGCGAAGTCGACTCGTCTAATGAGAAAGTGCTGCCAGAGAGGTGGAGCCAGCCCAGGTCGTCTGACCTCTGTGCCAGCTAATTTCCAACAAACTTAAGACTGATGAATACAAACGCAACAAACTTAGACTGATGAATACAAATGATTTTGCTTTCCCATCCTCTAAATTGTTGTTGTGTAGACAGTGTATTGATAGAAAATAAATACTGCTAGATCATGGATAAATGCCAGTAGGGTTTGGCTCAAAAAGTTAGCATTCGTTTCTACTCTGCACATACTCTGACCTTGTTGGAACACTGAAATGAAATGGAATGAAATAAAGAGCTATTTCTGTAACGGAGACTGGTACATCCTTGGCAAAGCAACAGACATGTCAAAGGAACCCAGGGCATTTTAGGCAAAAGCTAGGCAACAGATAACTAACCTCCAAACAAAGTAATTAAGACCAGACAATGTCAGAAGGGGTGGACAATGAATTAAGCCGCTAATAAAGAGAAGAAAGAACAAAGTTCAAGTCTTTAATGAAAACCAATCAGTCTCCTTCAGGCCTCTTTTAAATCACAGACTTTAATGGTGTCCATTTATTGTGTCTTCACAGAGGGAAATATATCACTCATTTATCACTAACCCTCATTAGCCAATTAGCTTCCTCCAAGAGTAAAGCACAGCACAAACACGTTCAGTTAATGAATCAAAATGGGACAGAAACCATGTGTAAAAAAAAAGGCCACTTGACTTAACATGTTCCAGCATATAATGTGTGATTGCATAACAATATTTAACTTGAATGCAGTGGTCCATTCTGAATTCTCTGGCTATGCACTCAAAATAAAAAATTATTGTAGAGTACACTATTTCTTACACCTAACTGTCTCACACAGCTCTCAAACTTGAATGTGCATCCAGTGTTTTCAAGGGCAAATGGAGAAGGTTTACCATCAAGAGTTAATACTAATCTTGCACAAAATAATATCTGCAAGGCAAAAGAGACACTTTTTGAACTGAATGGTTGTTAAAAACAAGTACCCTGTAAGGCATGGAAAGGAATTACACTTAATTAAAGATTCAAGGCTTTTCGTCATTGTTGACTGAGATGAGCACTGGGGCTCAGTACTTCTTTTCTCATATCCACAAAATGTTTAAAAGATGGATGGATGGATGGATGGATAGACCAGAATTCAAATCATTTTAAAAGTTATCACTCTGAGGTGAGAAGGAAGCTGAATATCCTTGCTCTTCAGTGAAATGTAGCGGCTGCACCATCAAGTCAATAAAACGCATCGATCCCAGTTTCATTGAGAGGTTCTTCAATTAGTGCAGATTAGTACTCCACTTTCAACCTATTCAAGTCAAGGTGGAATCCTTGAACTTTATTGAAGAAACTCATTTAGTAATGTTATCCTCCTCGTCTAAAATCCATTCCTAATAAGATTTTTTTAATGTGAAAGTGGGTGGTTTAAGGACTATTCACAGGGACTGTTGTGAACAGGGTTTTGTAAAGAAACAATGGATTCCTTTAGGCCTTTTGAAACCAGGCACAAACTTTTTTCTTTGTCAATGAGAGATTTGAGATTTTGATCAGGTTTCCAGAGCTGTACGGATGGCACTAACATATAGGGTCATTCTGTGTAAAATCAACTAAATTTCAGAAATGTCCCCAGCTCAAATTTTTGATTTTGTCAATATATTTTTCTGAAGAAAGATAAACATGTGTAGTGATGAAAGCCAAAATATTAAATGTCATGGATGTATATTGACTGAGTAATCCACTAATTTGTAGAGGGGGCACAAAATGACAGTTTTCACCTGAGATTTGAGCCAGATTACAGGGGGGTAAAAACGACTGAACTGGGGACCACTGGTCGAGTTGACATGGAAAGACCCATACAAAAGGTCTCTAAAATTTGCACTGAATAAATAGAACTGGAACTGTTTTTTTGAGTGTAGCTAACATACTGAACATTACACACATAATGCGACACACTCACCTCTACTGGAAACTTCTTTCCATTGATACTGTGCTCAGAACCAGCTGATCCATTTGTGCTGCCCCAGTGAAACTCCACTTTTTCTGCTTTGAAGCGTCCAGGTAGGCCGGCCCCTCTCACAAAGTAATCATTCTTCAGAACAATAGACACTGGAATGAAAAAGAAGACCAGATGAGAGAGTCGTAGTATGTAAAACTAAGACTGCCAAGTATATGTACTTTTTAAGATGTGCAATTCAACAACAGATAATGCAGGCAGATATATATATATATATATATATATATACACATTTCAATATTCCACTTTTCTTCAGACTGTAAAATGCTCCAGAGGAATTTTGTCTTTTTTATGTTGACAAAGGACCTTTAAAACAAATAATGATGCAGAAGAAACCGAGTGTGTACTCTGCAGGCCAGAGCGGACACATCAAAATGAGCTCCATGGGCTCTCCTGGCACAGACCGTCACATTATACTGCATTAAGAGATGACCTCTTGACTCTTTAAAGCTTGGATTGGTAAACAAATTGAAATATCTTCTGCTGGGTAGTCTCTGCAGAAACAGGATAACTACTTCATACAACTTGTTTTTCCATGGCCAATTAATGAGCTTGGTCAAATTCAATGCTGTTTTAAAACATTTTGGACATTTGAATCCATTTAACTGTAAATGAAGTCAAATAGGAGCATCATCTGCAGCATTACTGACCCTATTGTTATTTGTTAATAAATCAGAACATTAAAAATGTTCACCGTCAGATCATAAAAAGTTAAAACATCAACTTTACAATGCATTTATTGAATGTTCAACTTAGAATCACCTTACAAATAGCTTATAATTGTCTCTGCATTTTGTGATTGGATAGGAGAAAGCAACAATTACAATTACATTACAATTACATATTTCACATCAAATCAGATTTAAATGGCTACTTTAATTGGTTTGCATTTCATAAAACACTTTTTATGCCGATTGGTCAAGGCCTATTCAAGTCCTTTGTTGAGTTTAGGATGAACTACAAGGAACCACTCAGGAACATCTAACACAAGAAAAGCTCTCGTGTGGAGATCTTGGTTTAATTCTTAAGTATACTAAAGTGTAGGGGGGTGAGAACAAACAAACTGATTTAGGCGGATATGAGGGATGTTTGTGGAGAGATGGGATCTTTTGGTAAATACACAATGCTGTTTGCACATACTGGGCTAAAGACTCGTGGTACACGGGAGACGTTCGTGATGCTGGGGTTTTAAAGGATCTAACGCTGTGCTCTGTAAACAGTAGAAATAGCTCCTATTGTAATTATGCCACAGCGTGTTTATGGTCCTGGCGAGCATTCCCAAAAACCTTCTCAGGAGTAAATATAGCGCTCTACAGTGTGCCATTCTCAAAATTACTCCTAATTAAAACCAAGAGAAAGCAACATTTGAAATGCACAAAGAATGCTGTCGCACCATCATCCTTGGCTAGTGTTAGGTTTGTAGGCCAAAAAGGGATGATTTTCCTACAAATGAGGGCACAAAAACCCCCCCCGCAAAAAGTAGACTATGGACATTTGGAAAATGGAAAATTTTTCTATTACAATAATTAAAATATATATATATTTTCTCTTTTTTTTATGATGATGACCGTATAGATTACAGTCAAATTATTAATATGCATTCACACTACTATTCAAAAGTTGAAGGTCAGTAAGATTCATTTTTTTGAAAGAAATTAATACTTTTATTAAGTAAGGTTCCATTAAACTGATCAAAATTGACAGTGACGACTTTTACATTCTTAGTACAAAAAAATCTATTTCAAACAAATGCTGTTGAACTTTTTACTCATAAATGAATCATGCAGATGTATCAAGATTTCCACAAAAACATTAAGCATAATTGTTTTCAATAATGATAATAATACGAAATGTGTCTTGAGCACCAAATCAGCATATTAGAACCATTTCTGATGGATCATGTGACACTCAAGACTGGAGTAATGGCTAATGAAAATCCAGCTTTGCATCACAGGAATAAATTACATTTTAAAATATATTAAAATAGAATATAGATACTTAAAATTGTAATAATATTTCAGAAAATGAATGTCTTTACTGTATTTTTGATCAAATAAAAGCAACCTTGGTAAGCATAATAGGTTTCTTTTAAAAATATTTGAAAAAATCCTCAAACTTTAAGTTTAAGTCTTAAAAAAATAATAAAACTGCTCATATTTCCACATCTGCAAGGCATCAAAACAGATCTTATAGGAACGTTGTGAGGGCAGTGAGCATGTATGATATTTGTTTGGGCTTCGACTTTCAAACTCCCTCAGACCTGATGCAACTGTCTGTCATGATGGGACACTTGCAAACTGTTTCTTATAGTGCAATTATTTGGAAATATTTTTTACATTTAAGTGGCCTAAAGCTCAGGTCAAAGTTCTGACATGAGAGCAGATTAGTATTGTTAAGAGTTTCATTCTTTGGCGAACCTGTTTTGCCTGTGTTCTTCATGGTGGTCCTGTTTGACGACTTGTTTTCAAAGCCATCCAAGGTCAGCTCCTGGCACTCTTGAGAAACCTGGGTGTCTTGATCTGGGATATCCACGGGAGACTGATTCCTTTCCCCGCATTCTGGATAAGCAGAGGGCCACCTTCGTGGTCCGTAGGTGCCTGTGAAAGAAAAATGAAGAATAAACAAGAAACTTTACATTTGCATCACATTTACACATTGGCATTGAAGCATTCACGTTATATATTATACGTATGTACACCATTAATTTAACCTTAACTTAAACTATGAGACATTTAAGCAGTCAAAAATATAATTGTATAGTTAATGTATAAAGTCCTTTTTAAAATCATGATTTTAGGTTAAAATTTCTATTCATATGTAATGGAAAGTATATATTTTACAGCATTTCTTCACACTTTTTAATCACCTTTTTCCTTCACTAGGCCATTTTAAAAGGTCCTGTGGTGTGGCAAATTACTTTTTAAAAGTGAAAATATTTCAAGCACTCTCTCAGTTAACACAAGGCCTCTTAAAAAAAATTAAAATAGAATGACTAATCATTAAAACTTTAAAGGGGTCATATGATGCGATTTAAATTTTTCCTTTCTCTTTGGAGTGTTACAAGCTCTTGGTGCATAAAGATGTTTCGTTGTGAAAGCGAAACTACATTGTTTGGCCTTTCAAAAGAGGACATAATGTTTCTATAAAGTGGGGCAGTTCCAACTTTGCAAGGACAGTCTGGCGCTTCTGACTCACAGCCTGTAAAGCCCAATTTATACTTCTGCGTCGAACCTACACCCTAGCTTACGCATAGACGCACACCCATACGCCGTAGCCTGACGTGCACCTCTCCAAATATCTAACAGCGCGTCAATTCTACGCAGACCGCAACCGCTGTGATTGGTCTGCAAGAACCCCTCCATATGTACTTGAGTTTTGTGTTTATGTGCACTTTAATATATTTTAATGTTACACCTTCTTATATAAAATAAAACAAAGCAAAGAACAAGTGTCTTATCATTATCATTTGTTATACTACATAGCATTATACATCAGTAGTTGTCCGCAACAAACAATGTTGATCTGCCGAGGTACAAGTCCTTGTACAGATTGAAAGAATGCCATCTTCTCCTGTTCCATTGTTGTCTCCTTTTTGTAGTTTTAAATAATGATTTAATGATTTGATATATATTTACTGCCTTCACGGCTATAATGCTTCTCCAACGAGCCGCTTCTTCTTCGGCTTTTGCCGTGGTACTGCGGGTTACACCAGCAACATGCCCGTGGACACTGCAGACTAGCTGTTTGCATGTGTACTGCACGTTGATGCGGACAACGACACAGAAGTATAAATGAAAACTGACGCATAACCTACGGCGTCATTTCTCTGATCACAAATGCAGACATGGTTGTATGTTTACGTGGTGCAATACGCAACGCAAAGCGTAAAAACACAGTATAAGTCATTACAATCAGTAATTATGTCCCCACTGGATGCAACAAATGCCTCGTTTGTAATGGGTTTTATTGGTTTTGTCTCGTCGCGCCGGACACATGAAAACCATAGACTGTATGATGGAAACACAGTATGGTAAGGGGCGTAACATTTCTGTCACACGCTTGAGGTATTCGGCCAATCACAATGCACTGGATAGCTAGCTGGCCAATCACAGCACACCTCGCTTTTCAGACCGATGAGCTTTGTAAAAATCGACGCGTTTCAGAACGGCGGGGCATAGAGGAGAAACAATAATGTACATCATGTGGAAAATAATGCTTTTTTTAACCTTAAACCGCATCAACACATTGCATTACACCAAATACACAAAATAATGTTCTTTTTAGCAACATCATATGACCCCTTTAAAAAACAAAAATGAATTTGCAAAATGCTGTTTTAGATAGAGTGCATCATGTCACACACCAGGACAGAATTAAATTATTCCTCTGTTGACTAAACATTGACTCAGCAGTTGAGGAAAAGTACACATTCGCAATGTAAATCTGAATTAGCAAAACACAAATCAGAATGAGCTTTATGCAATGCAAACTTTTTCTACACATAAATCCCTCTTCTCGTGATGTTGTTGAGCTATCAATTTGATACTCATCAGCCATCTGTGTTGGTCTAAGACAGAGAAATATGAGCACACATGTTCTGCAAACATGCAGCACTAAACTGATGAATGGTTTCATTACCAGTGGTGGCAGACGTATCAGAGTCCATGTCATAGTGGTGTATGTAAATTGCCTCCTAATGCTTAATGCTTTGCTCATCAAATTAAGTGTTGCACACAGTATATGAATAATAATCTGTGACATGTTGAGGGTTGCGGTAAACAGCTATATGTCTGGATGGGAATCTTAAGAGCAGTAAAAACAAGTGCGTTTCTCTTTAACAATCTGTGCAAACTATCTTACAAAGGAAAACTCTCATTTTAATCACCATTTTTCAGCTTCCTGCAAGGACAAATGTACACAGCAATATGTTATTATAATTTCTGAAGAGCAGTTATGGGGCGCCTGAAGCTAATCACTCCAATTTTGGGGCCTGTTTTCCAAGAGTCAGATTAAACAGACTTTGCTATGGCAACCTGAATACTCTTAGTCACAAGAAGGTACGAAATTTAACTAACCACTATAATTTTATCATCAGCACTGCTGGTGCTGAGATTCTTCCCCGCCTAGATAGTGAAAAGTGGGAAGAGAGGAGAAAAACCTCATGGGATTGGTCCAACAGAAGCACGGTTGCCATCACAACGCTATCTTGTGTACACACTGACCGCATACCAATCAAAAGCATAGTCAAAAATGGACTTGCGTTTTGAAGCAGTTTTTGAGTTATAACCCAAGTATTTTATGCTGTAGGTTCAAAGATGGCACATCAGATTTGCCCTTGAGCTTGAGGGTCTGATCGTGGTGTCAAGAATGATGTTGTCTCTAATCTTCTGCGCTAAAAGTCTGCCGACTCACAGCTGAACTGAGTCGCGCTTATTTTCCCCGTCGATAGACTGTATGACATCCTGCTGATATTCTGAGAGACATGAGTCCGTCAGAGTTTGGTTTGTATGACTGAACATGGGTCGTAGGTGGACAGCAGAGTATGGAAAACTGCTTTTATACCAACCAAACAAATCAAACACTGTCAAACAGCCAAAAACTCTAGTAGCGCACACTTTACACAAAAAACGTTAATATTGAATATTTTATATTTCACTAATATTGCCAGTAGGGCTGGACGATATGGCCTAAATATATATCACGGTATATTTCTTAATTTTGGTCGATACGATATAATTACGATATCGATATGAACACTATTTAAAAAAAAGCCTTATAAAAACTGCCAAGAATGCCCACAACAGATGTCTGTGCATACAAACTTATGAAAAATTAATTTTCCAAGTCTATGAAACCTCCTCCTATAAAACTTTATAATATTTATGAAAATGAAACAGCACAAATAAATTAATGTTTACCTTATATCAAACTATAGGCTGACATACACTACCAGTCAAAAGTTTTTGAACAGTAAGATTTTTAATGTTTTTTAAAGAATTCTCTTCTGCTCACCAAGCCTGCATTTATTTGATCCAAAATACAGCAAAAACAGTAACCTTTTGAATTTTTTTTTACTATTTAAAATAACGGTTTTCTATTTGAAAATATTTGAAAATGTGATTTATTCCTGTGATTTCAAAGCTGAGTTTTTAGCATCATTACTCCAGTCACAAGGTCCTTCAGAAATCATTCTAATATGCTGATTTGCTGCTCAAAAACATGTATTATGATGTTGAAAACAAATGAGTAGATTTTTTTCAGGTTTCTTTGATGAATAGAAAGTTCAGAAGAACAGCATTTATCTGAAATAGAAATATTTTGTAACATTATAATATTTTTGATCAATTTAAAGCATCCTTGCTAAATAAAAGTATTATAAATAAAATAAAATTGCAGAAAAAAAAATTCAGATAAATGCTGATCTTTGGATCTTTCTATTCATCAAAGAATCCTGAAAAAATATATTCTCAACGGTTTAAAATATTGCTAATCAGCAAAACAGTATATTATAATTATTTCTGAAGATTTAAAATAACTGCTTTCAAATAGAAAGCGGTTATTTTAAATAGTAAAAATAATTCAACATTTTACTGTTTTTGCTGTACTTTGGATCAAATAAATGCAGCCTTGGTGAGCAGAAGAGAATTCTTAAAAAACTTTAGACTCGTAGTGTAGGCTGATTATTTTTATAGATTGAAACAAATGTGCTTCAGCCAGAATAAAGAGTATGAAAAGTGCTCTTAGTTGCTGCGGAAAACAAAAAAAATGTAACAACAACAAAAACATGTTGCTGGAGACGGGCTTATTATTGAAAATGCTTATTCATTCTCTGCCAGCAGGAGGTGCTTGTAGAGTGATAAAACCAGAGGTTTCCCCATTAACGCTGTAATCAAAGCAGCTTTGCGCATGAACGCTACTTTATCAGATAAAATGAAAATGTCATCTAAACTTTTCTTTAGACAGTCGGTTTCCTTCAGAGATACATTCATTTAAAACACCCGTGCCCTGTTTTGATTTTGAAACGTGCAGTGCTCATGTTTATTCAACAAAGTCAAACGCCACAAATAAATCAATGTATGGGAAACACTGGTAATGTATATCGAAATATCGGAAATGTGTTTAAAAATCATATCACCGTTATTGAAAAAAATTATATCGCGATACATATTGATATTGAATTATTGTCCAGCCCTAATTGTCAGTTCCCCTATGCATTTTTTTTTTTTGCTCCATTAACAAAAATAGTTCCAAATAAATTCAAAGTAGAGTCATTAGATCAAACTAGCATCTCCGAGCAACACAGCACAGCCGTTCGTCTTCCTTCCTGAAAGAATCAACGATTTTTTGATTAATTGATTCAGAGAATGATTCAATGACTCGCTCATTGACAATCACTTGTTGTGTTCCTGAATGAATCAATGCTTTTGAATGAAGCGATTGGGTTGCCTGAATGACTCAATGATTCACTCATAAAGACAGTCACTTGTTGCCACCTACTTGTGTATTGATGTAACCTTCAGAAACAGTGACTGAATAATGCCTAAATGTACAGATAAATGCATTATAATGCAAATAATATAAAATGAAACAAAACTCT